TAAACCCTAAACCCTATATAAACCCGAGCCCTATATAAACCCTAAACCCTATATAAACCTCAACCCTAAACCCTAACCCACCGGGTCTCCTGGTCGTTCTCGTTCAGCTCCGTGGTGTCTTCGCCTCGCAGAACCGACTTCGCCTCGAAGTGCCCAAGCTCGGTGAACCGCTTCGGGGCTTAATATAGGGGCCTTAGGGTTTAGGGTTCCCTTTAAAGGGAACTATAAGGGCTACTATAAGGGTACTATGATACAGGGGCATTAATAATTAGAGCTTACAAAGGGGCCTTAACAATCAAAATAGGGGTTCCTTTATGAAGGGATCTATAAGGGTGCTATGAAATAGGGGCTCCTTTAAAGGGATCCAAAAGGGCTACTATAAGGGTACTATGATATAGAATCTTTGGTTTTGGGGCCCATTGTACTGTAGTTATAGTAAGGAACCCCCACAATAGTATTGGCCCCTATAATACCTAAAGCCACAAAGAAACCTTCAACCCGAAGGCTACCCTAAACCCTAAACCCCATACATATTGATTCTACTTATGCACTTACACGAGCGAATTTTGTCAGCTGCCGTCAGCCCATTCAAGACATGTCTTACGCACGCATCGGCGCAAGTATCCTGCTTCTAAGGCTGGAGCGGCTGGAGCAAAGAGCTTGTAAACGGAGCCTCAAGGCTCAATGGCAAGGCAAACAATGTGATGGCTGTTACATATAGTGTGAGAAACCGATTCTTCGCCACAGGACTGCCGCCACTAACACGAACAACGCGAAGAAAATCGAGCACGCGACAGCCGGGTCGCGGAGATCTTCAGACATGGTGACTTCACGCAACTGACGACGCACGGCAGCACTGTTGCCACCATCAGATCGGCTACCCCAGGTCACGACAGATCCGTCCCCAAGAACGGCAGCAAAGGCTCCGCCAGAGGCTTGAATCTGCCGCACATTCTTCAGCTGACCCTGCACTGCTCTGCTGTCACAACCATATTCAGCACCACCCCATGTCACGACAGATCCATCGCTAAGGATGGCAGCAAATGCGCCATGGGAGGCTTGGATATGCTGCACATTCTTCAGCTGAGCCTGCACTGCTCTGCTGTCACCACCATATTCAGCATCACCCCATGTTACGACAGATCCATCGCTAAGGATGGCAGCAAATGCGCCAGCGGAGGCTTGGATATGCTGCACATTCCTCAGATGATGCCGCACAGCACTGCTGTTACCACCAGAGCGAGCATCACCCCAGGTCACGACGGATCCATCCGCACGAACAGCAGCAAAAGAACCCCGTGGCTTTGGTTTGCTGCGTTGGTGGGCTTGAATTTTCTGCACGTTCCGCAACTGATGTTGAACACGGGAACTGTTACCACCATGCCAACCACCACCCCAGCTCACGACGGATCCGTCGCCCAGAACAGCAGCAAACGCGTCGTCAGAGGCTTGGATCTGCTGCACATTCTTCAGATGACGCTGCACTGCTCTGCTGTTGCCGCCCCTTTCGGCGTGACCCCATGTCACGACAGATCCATCGCCAAGGATGGCAGCAAAGGCGGAGCCAGTGGCTTGGATCTGCTGCACATTCTTCAGCTGACCCTGCACAGCGCCACTGTCACCGCCGGAGTGGGCACAACCCCAGGTGACAGCAGATCCATCGCCAAGAATGGCAGCAAAGGCGGAGGCAAAGGCCTGGATCTGCTGCACATTCTTCAGCTGAGCCTGCACTGCTCTGCTGTCACCACCATATTCAGCATCACCCTTACGACAGATCCATCGCTAAGGATGGCAGCAAAGGCGGAGTCAGAGGCCTGGATCTGCTGCACATTCTCCAGCTGATCCTGCACAGCACTACTGACCCCACCACAGTCAGCATCGCCCCAGGTCACGACGGAACCGTCACCAAGAATGGCAGCAAAAGCACGACCATTGGTTTGGATCAGGTGCACATTCTTCAGCTGATCCTGCACAGCACTACTGTCACCGCCGGAGTGGGCAAAACCCCAGGTGACGGCAGATCCATCGCCAAGAATGGCAGCAAAGGCGGAGTGAGGACGGCAGCCGCGAAAAAGAGGGTGTTCTGATATGTGTTCTGTTGCCCCAATGGAAGCGAATGACGCGAAACCTCCACAAACTTGAGTGTAGGTATAATACAGGGTCAGCACATCACCATCTTGCATGGAGTCCCGGATCTTTGCAGATGCCTGAAGAACGCATCCCGATGAGACCAGCTGCCCTTTTCTGACTCCTAGCTCCGTCTGCGCAAGATGTTGCAATGCTGCCACATCTGCATCCAAGCTTATCTCGGCACTGGTCGTCTTGCCACTGAGAAGTCCAACTTCCACCGTGATCGACATGTCCCGTGCAAGAAATGGAATTGTCTGAGTGTCAGATTTTTCGAAACGGTAATGGGCTTTGGGGATGGCATCTCTAAGCTTAGATGCCAATCTCTCAACCCTAAACCTTATACCGTAACCCAGAACCCTAAACCCCTAAAACGAATGGCTCTTGAGGTCTTCCTTCGAGTGCATCGGGTTTTCTTTGCGCAAAACCTGGGCCAGAAATGGCAAGAGCCTCTGGGATCACAGCGTTAGGCTGGGCACCTGAATAAAAAGGGTCCTTAAAAGGAGGCGATAAAGGTTTTATAGAGTTTCTATAAGATTACTATGAGGGTTTTAGAAGGGCACTTGGAGGATCACTGGACTTAGTAAGTACAGGTATAAGAACCTTAACTGGGGTTATAAGTATTTCTCTCTCTCTGCCGTTGCATCCAGAGGGTCTAGCAGCGCCAGGCAACGCATAAGTATTTATCAGTATAACTTTTTTATTACCCTAGTTACGAAGTCCCATGATCCTGTAAGTACCACCTAACAAGACTGTTCATGTTAAGCTCCCGTTGTATGCTGAGCTTCAAAGAATCCGGGACCCTCACTCATGGAGATCCCAGATGGTATAGGACCCTAAGCCCTAAATCCTTAATCCCTAAACCTTTCCCCCTAAACCGCCCTAAACCCTAAACTCCTAAACCCATATATAACCCCTTCCTCAATCTAAGAGCACCTGAGTAAGGGAGACGTGGAAAACCCCGGCATAGCGTCAGCATTTTGAGCTCTGCACTCTCCTCAAATAAATACCTGGCAAACCACCCTAAACTATAGGCTTAGGGCTTAGGCTAAACCCAACAAACCCCTTAACTCCTAAACCCTAAAACTCCTGAACCCTGACCCCTTTTGCATCCAGGCCTCCTGAGCGTGTTGCCCGGTAATGCTTGGTACCGCTCCTGACCCCTCAACCCACAAAAACAACCCGAAACCCCGGTCACGCGCCTTGAAGTGCCGAGCCAGGTCCAAAGCTCGCTCCATCTCGCTGCTCGTGCGTAGGAGGTGCAGCATCCTTCAGGTTCAAGATATATGTCATATCATATGGTACAGGATATATAAGAATGCAGTGTGATTAGTGTCATGCTATATAAGACTGCAGTATGATGCATCATCATATCATGTGTCATAAATCCAAGGCTGCAGGGATCTTAAGGCTTTGTGGCTTTGGGGCTTCAGCATATTCATGGATTTCAAGGCTTCTGATATAGGGGCCTTAATGATTATCAAAGGGTTTCAAGGCCCATTAAACCATAATTGTAAAAAGGAACCCCCGAAGAAGTAGTCTTGGTACTTATTTAGGCCCCCATATTTGAGTCTGGAGCTTCCAACTCTCGCACTCGCACCCAGCGGGCAATGCTCTCCAAGAAGCCGGACGTCTCCGATAGATTGCTTGAGCAAGGTTTCGGAGTTTCGGATTTGGTGAACTTCGGGTTTGTCGGCTTCGGGCTCAAATCTTCTGAGTTTCATGCTAGGTTTCCGAGTGCAGTGATGCAAGGCTCCCAGTTTGAACAGGTTCGTCAGGCTTTCAAAGTCTCCAAACAATCCTCATGTTGACAGCCTCGGCACTTTCTAGAATCTAGAATGTAGTAATTTTAGGGTCTAGGGTTTAGAGTAATAGGCAAACAGCTTCATGTCCCTCCACCCAGAGCCAGAAACTGTAGCAACGCCTCCTGCAGCAAAGCCCTCTCAACCAATAGCTCTGCTACCTTCATAAATGCCTTATCATAGTCCTTCGAGAGTCCCCGAAAGACTTACGAAGTCAATCGGGCGAGTGGAGTGTGCTAGCTGGCTTCTCACCCCTCTGGGTGCTGCTTGCGTGCAGCAGACTCCAGTCGCAGAACAGCTCATGATATCAACCGCAGCTTCATCTGCAAATCCGTGCAAACTCCAATGGGTAGTTGTCAAAATTATCGTCCCTTATTTTGGGGTACCCTAAATAATAGGTTCCGCATAATAAAAGGGACCCAAAACAGGGACCATAATTTTGACAACCACCCCAATAGAGTCACTAATGCCCTCCCTCCGTTCACCATCTTGAAACCTAAGCTTACCTTTGGTTGGTAGGGAATGGAAGAATGGTAGTAATAGTAGTGTTTAGGGTTTAGGGTTTAGGGTTATACTTGTACCCCATGCAAAGGAAACCTAAAGAGCTGCCACGACTCCGGAGCCGGAGCTGCATATAATAGTAAGGATAAAAAACGATAATTATCATAGTAATAACAATAACAATAAAAAAAAACACTGATATCTATTAAGAATAAAAAACATAATGTTAATAATAATAGTGATAATAATAATAATCGTAAAATAATAACAATCATAACAATAGTAATAGTAAGCATTGCTCCCGCAGCTCGTCCTCTCCGGTCGGCCGCGCTGCAGTGCTTCCACCACAGGCACCTGTCCGTGCCGAATGGAGTTTCTTTTGATTATTGGGAGTACGGCGTACATTTGTTTTTGCAGAGCTGTACCAAGCAATAACACGTTTCGTGCAGCAGATTGCAGCGGTCTCCGCCTTGCGATGTACTACGGGTCATGCATGCAGCTTGGGCTGTGGGCATTGACCAGCTTGGGAAAACATGCAGACTCGACGCAAACGCGAAAAGACTCGAAACGTTAAGCCCTAAATCTACAAGGATGCCAGGCCTGGTTCCGTACCACCGGCTTGTTGCCAGCAGAGACAATAGCCTCGGTGCTGGCCCGTGGGCTAGTGTGGCAGCCACGCATTGATTCGCAACTGCAAGGAAAAACCCCTGCTCGTCTATAGTGATCATCACCTGAGACGAGCAACCATGTAGAAGTCGATGTAGCAGGACACGAAGCTGCCGGCCATCCGCTCCTGTCTGAGGACACACGTGTATGCAGCAGCAAGCAAAGCCAGCAACCTCAACCACACCATCTCAGATGCTCGTGTTGTGTGTTTGCTTGTCTGTCGTCACCTGCCTCGACTCCTTGTATAGAAGGGCAGCTAGAAGCAAAACTGGATCATTGCGAGACGCAGAAAAGCTCCCAATGCAACCCACAAGAAGAGTGAGCGCAAGCAAGCTCCGAAGGACACAAAACGGCATGCAAGACCGTACAAGTACCATGCAATAACAACCTGTCCCTGAGAATGAGCTCGGAGAACTTCGCAATAAGGTCTTCGGGCACACGCCGGCAAATGGTGAAATTGCCCTTGAAGATCCTTGGCTGTGGCTTCGAAGGGTTGCATTCAAGCCACCTAATTAAGTCTTGGCGTTTTGAAGCTTACAGGCACTCTAAACTCTCAAAAGGACTGGGCCAGTTGTCTCTGCGCGGGGCTTTTTCGGACGCGGTACTGTCAAGTGACTCTTGTGAGTTCCTGGCCAGATATTATTACATCTTCCAAAGCAACCTACCCGGTCCAGAATCTCAGAAGTCCGAGACGTCCCTGACTACTACGCCATCTGAGACACTGTCGACGCAACCATCTCCAGCACAAATATAATATACTGAACATAATGTCTCAAGCCATGCTTGCCCACGAAGCCAGCAACTCAGTCGCAGAAGACCAACACTTGTCAAGACTCTCAGCCAAAACGCCAAAACCCAAAGCTTTGAGCCCGCAAAAAAGCAAACCCTGCAAGCTTCAACTTCAAACCGAGCTCGGAAGACACTAAAACAACTTTTTTTGCATCCGGGCTTGGTAAGTCGGCCGGGGAAGGTGACAGGCAACGACAGCATCGCGCCAACACGAAAAAAGTTAATCACAAGACCACCGTCCGATCTCTGAGGTCGCTGCTCTGCCAGGAGCAACGCAGACTCCGGCTGCTCAGCGACCAAGGCTTTCATCGCATCCTGGGCAACTTGGAAGACTTCGGGGCAGTTAGTGCCAAGCGACGAGTCTTCAGGGTCCATGAGATGGCGTAGAAGAGGTAGTGTTTTAGGCCCTGCGGAATGTGGGATATTAGACCTCGACATGTCGGCGGTAAGGCCTTAACGTTTAGAGCTTCAACTTCTCAGGGATGTAGGGCCATGATTAGGGCTGATAGTTGCACAGGAGAACAGTCAAGGGAGAGAGTCAGGGTTCATGGGCTAGCGTCTCGGCATCGAAGGTTTCGGGCCCCATAGGAAATTTATAGGAAATTTGCTGCACTCCGAGCGAGTGCGGAGGGACGTGCTTCAAGTCGCCGAGTTAGAAGATTCAGTTATGGGCCCGGCCTTCCGTTTCCCATCTTCAGACTCTCTGGCATTCACTCTAAGTCCGGCTCACTTGTAGACGACCGGAATCTAGCCACTACTGTATCTTGCAGACTGAGTTCCACCGGGAAGCCTAGCGACCAGCAACAGACCGACGGTACAACCCAAGGCTCCGAAAATCCAAAAAATCGAAAACCAGCGCTAGAATCTTGGAACCCCTTGATTGAACAACGTTAATGTGCGACAAATTCGCCAGTTTGACTTGACTCGAACCGGGCGCAGGTTGGGGCGGATCAGGGCTTCATGGTTTAGCTTTCTTCTGGGATGCTGGAAGATACTGGGAGTTTCTTGCAAATTCCCAGCATGGTCGTCCGGTCTCTTCTCGACTCTCGCGCTCCGCAAGCCAGGCAGGCAATGGTGGGAGTGTCCAAAAACGGGGGACCCTATAGATACAGTACCCTACATGGTAGGATCCGTTTTATAAGCATCCCCAAATAAGATACCCCTAATTTTCCGAAACCCCCTTGTGAGTGATCGGCATGTTATGCTTTTTTGGTCGAGGTTTGCAGTCTCACGCGGGTTGTCGCACTCAGACATCCCTGTCGAGGCTTGTGCAATCGTGTAACCAGAGTTTTGACTACCGCCCACACGCCAAAGACCTCATTTAAAAAAACAGGCAGGAAAACCATAGCAGTACGGACTCAAACAAAAACTTCGACAAACAACACCGCTGTCCACAGGCTTGTCAGTTGTGAGCTTTGACATGTATATCCCAGTTCATGCAGGAAGCCTGAGGTCCTGCATCTTGTGCCTAATAATATTTCACAACTTACGATACAAGTAATGAATAATACCAGTACTATATACCATGTATAATAAGCATAAAACTATGTAAAAATGCACGAATATAAACGTTAACGATGCAGTGGTCATATACAACAAATGACAAAATAGACAGACATGTTTGTGAGGAATATCCCGGTCGGCTCCACAGCTCCGAAACGAAATTGTTGCACTCCCTCCCAGACCCCCGGGAGGATCCAAAAAGTAGATCATTTAAAGTGGGTTCCTATTAGTAGTATAGGGCCCCAAATTACGGGATCTTCTTTCTAGATCCCCCCGGGGGTCTTGGCTGACATGCGCCTTACATGCTCCAGATCTCCCCCGAAGTTCAAGGGGCGACGTCTTTAGTTTCACAACTCCTGCGGGGATCGGTACTTAGAGGTTCATGGGACTGAATAACTAGGGTTGTAATCAAGGTAACTACACTTATATGTACTTTTAACCTCAATTAGGGTACTTATAACTGTACTTACTAAGTCCCATGAACCTCCAAGTATGACCAGTGTGTTATGGGATTCCTGAAACAAGCCCCTGACCCTGACAACTTCCCAGTGCCAGTCCAGCGGCTACAGATCGATAAGCCTGCATCTGGTTCTTGCTGTTGTTTGCCACGGCCTCCGGGTGTTTTTTGTGCTTGAGCGAACAAAAGGCCCGTGCGTCTCATCTCATCACATTAGGCTCTTGTTTGGCTAGTTGCTGATGTGCTACTTGTTCTCGCGGTTTTAGTGCGACTTGACGTGCTCGCACCGTCCATTCCGTAGCTCTCAAAAGCTTCTTCGCGATGCGCAATGCCTCATGCTGGTGGCAAAGGGCATGGTGGGAAGACGCGCCGGAACCCGTCGCCTCAACCTACGAAGCCCCATCAATGCAAAGACGTCTGCCTTGACTGCGCAGTGGCACATTTGAGAAATCACCTGCTTGACCTGGCATGCGAGAACAGGGACAGTATCTGTCATTTCAGGGGTGTCGAGTTCAGGGTCTACCCCAGCATTCTGCAGCCCGTCTTTGCGAGAGCGAGGCCTGCATCCTTTTCCAAATGTCTGATATGTACGACTAACGGTTCAGCTTTCGGGTTCAGGGTTGAGTGCGTTTTGAGTGATCATCACAGTATCAGAGTCATACTACTTAACCACAGTAAGAGTTCCTGATACTTGGGCTGATCGCTGGCAGCATGGAAGCACGATGTGGAGAACACCACTTGAAGGCCCACGATCTCCAAACCAACGCAAGCTTCGGGTTTCGGGTTCTTGTATTGTGAATGAAAGGTTTTCCTCACTTAGGGGGTGGAAGCATTCCTGCAAGTGTGGCAGGGCTGCCAGTGGCTCGGAGCTTTGCGGAAAGTCCTCGGTCGGACAGCATTCAAGCTCCCCGTGTTCAAAGCTGGTCGCACCGAGGTCTCAGCTGCCGATGTCGTGAAGCCCTGCTTGCCTACCTATACATGCTTCAGGATTTCGGGTTGCAATGTGGGTAAAGCTGTTCACAACTCCCTGAGAGTGAAAGCATTGAAGTGTTAAGTCTGCGAGTATGTGTAAGTTGTTATCTCTCTCTCTCTCTTTCTCTGTCTCTTTCGCCAGGGTTGTGGAAACGGGCTCTCTTGCTCTCTCTGTTTTTCTCTCTTCTTTCGTTCACCGTGGTCAAGAGTCTCTCATCAGGCCACGGAACACACTTCGAAGCATCACTTTGGAGACTTACGTTCGTCCGGAACCTTCATCATCTTCCCCCGTTTGACACCTTGTGACTTTTAGCAGCATGCGGTCGATGACTCGCATGATTTGCCCGGAAAACGAACTGATCTAGGAATCGACGCTGTAAGTTAGTATTGAGGTGCAAGCACCATAAGGTCAAGGCCAAACTTTAAAAACCACGACTTGACCATCCAGCATTGGAAGCTAAATCGCAAGCCGGACATCCCAAGCCCAAGATCCGTGGCCATCGCCAACGAGGTGCTGAAAAGCTCATCCTCACCGTGTAATCCATGTGCGAGAAAAACTCTGTTTCCTTAGTTTCGACAAGGTCGGCATCAGGCGAGGTGTGTCCAGTCAGAAAAGTACCAGGACAATTGTCAAACGGAGCACGTTTAGCTAAGGCAGCGAGGCCCCCAATGGCAGACTTCTTGCCCTGATACAATGCACAGTGGGATGGCAAGTAGGCACTAAAAACTTCGGTGCTGACGTCAAGCGCGGGTTTCAAGGCCAGATCAGGCAGGGGCTGTTCATGATCATGGAGTGTGCCAAGTCTCGTGAAGCATTTTCTGCACCTCGTGGGGGCTGCTTGAAGGATCCCCATTGATGCACAGGCCGCGGATCCGTTTGCAAAGAGAGCCTGGGTGAGTCAGCGCCAGAATCGGCAAACATCAGGCACAAGTCGATGCCGAAAAGACGATCTCGGAGAATTACCGCAGATCCTGACCATGTCAATCCTACACCTGTGCAAACTGCACAATAAGGCAGCGTAGTGAGGCAATCTAACCAGGTTCAATCGGCCGTAACTACACAACTCACAGTCTGTCGGCAAGGACATGGAAACCTAGTTATCCAAGGAAGCTCGCTTCCAAACTCAAGAAGAAAGTCGCTCCAGTGTAGCAGTATCGACATAGGCAAGATGCTGAATTGCTTCAGCTTAGCATTGTCGATGGTCGAAAAGTCATCGTCAACGCCCCAGTTCTCAATACTGTAGAGCCTGGGCAAGGGTTCAAAACTCAGCCGAAAACCTAAGACAAATGTTTGAAACCGATGTTGAACCGAGCACTGGTCACTAGACCAAATCCGGCACATCCGAAATGCGTGAGCCTGCATCCTGCGGATTGTAAGTTTGTACATCTTCACTGCACAGCCTGCACCTCGCCTCACAACAATACCGTTCAGCAAGACCAAACAAACATAGCCATCAAGACGTGCCGTCTATGGCCTCTGTTTTGGTCGTGCAGCATCGCAGGGTCTCAGTACCGGTTACAGGGATCAGTTTCAACATTGTTCGGTCCCGAGCTGCAGCCGTCCAACTGAGAAGACATCGTGCTTCAAGGACGAGAACAGCTTGTCTTGGGCCGTGGTGAGCAACTCCACCTCGGAACAAAAATCGAGCTTCCCTTACTATAATATGATAATAGTTACTATAATAAAATAAAATGTAATATGACATAATATGTGAGGCCGTGCGGCCGTATGGCGCACCTTCGAACCCCAAGGCTAAGAAGCATAATGCGAATGAGGCTATGACCCAGAGCTCATACCCTGACGCACCGCTTGCTATTGCTGGAAGACGCCTTGCCGCATCGGAGATCGAAGACCCCGGCCCATTCGCATACTCGATCCGAAGCCGATTTTGCAATTATGCAAACCCTCCACTCCAAAAACTAAATACTGTTCTCCGCGCAAGGAACTCAACTCACACGTTCTGGCACACACTCGCCTGAAAATACCAGTAAACACTGCGAGAGAGAGAGAGAGAGAGCGAGAGTGACAGCGAGCTTCGATACAGGCTAAGTACGTAGCTATCGGTCCGAACCTTTTACCCTCGGAATCGCCCCTAACCGCGCCGGATTGTACGGTAGTCTCAGCCCTTTTAAACCTCTCTTCGGACTCATTCGGGGCCAAATGCGCCCCGAACATAACATTAAATATCAGTGGGGGTGAGGTTTAACAATCCGGTACGGAGATTACGTAAGTAAGCGTAAGCGAAATAGTGCAGTCTTGCTTAGAAGAGGTTTCGGACCTGAAGCATCAGGGCTCCAGCCATACCTCACGCCATCCCTAAATAGCCTGATGTTTATTAGCTGCAGTGCTAGTTGCCTCAGGCTAAACCCTAAACCCCTACCCTAAACCCTAAAGTTTAGTTTCTTGTTTCCGTGCTCGTCTCCTGGTCCGCAATGGCAAATGGGGTGTTTCGGCTTTTGCATCTCGGGCTCAGGGCCCTTCAATGTTTATAAACATGCTTATTAATGAAGACTGATGTTAGGTTAATAAACGCTTAGAGCGCCTGAAGTAATCAGTAATGTTTATTGCGTTAACGAAGTTGAACGTCAAAATGTCTTCTCACATCCCGCTGGAACTTTTTTTGGTGCGCTAAGTCAGTAGAAAAACACACTAATGGCGGAGGACGCTCTGCATTGAATTTCAAGATTCGAGTCTTCATGATTCTTGTTTGATGGATCGCAAATCATGGGATAGTCCGGAAAACCAGAGCATACCCCAAAGTTCTTATTTGCTCCAGAACCGACACCACTAACCCCTGGATTTACAAGCCCGAACAACACTGCCTTGTTTGAGTCTTTGCAGGCCTACCTACCACCTGAACGAGACGTAGACACTCCAACAGGGATTTGGGGAGACTCATTCATTCACGCAAGACAGAACGTGACCGAACATCTTTGTTAATCTAAATGAAGGTGTAGATCATTCACCCCTTTCGATTGGGCAGGCTGGCAGGCTGGATGCCAGAACGTGACCCTCCGACTTGTTGCCAAGGATCCCGAAAAGAAGGCCTCTAATGATATCATACACCCCCGCCCCCTGAACCCTAAACCCTTTCTTTTAAACCCTAAACTCCTAAACCCTACCCGAATACTCACCTTCTCCAGGAGGTTGATGAGCTCTGAGCCCTGGCAACCTCGCTTCTCCGGGTATCTCTTGCTACTAACCAGGACCTAGGAACACACCACAAAGTTATGGTCTCGGTTATAGACGACGCTACGGAGCCGCATAGTGTATCCCATGGTGTAAAACAGCACACAACTTTGCATCCTAGCATTAAGACGCCATGCCAGGACAGACTGCGTCTGCGCAGTGCACGTGCATATAAGAGGATGCGAACCATGCAGAAACTCCCAACCGAGTACTCTGCATGCGCCACGAAACAACATCTACATGGCATGTATGCAGAGGGACACTTCCCCAAACCAGTGAACAGCGGCCTGCCACCCTGCAACAAGAACCTTCCAGCTCCGGAAACTTCATGACCTAAAGTTGAGAACCCTAAAACCCCTGCAGCGCTACTAGCAACTTCACTACCCTTCCGCCACGCAGCAATGTGCAAATAGCAGCTCCAAGGCCAACGCAAAAATGTCCTGCGAGCCATACCTTGGTAGTGCGGATGATCGGTCAGACAGCTTTATGCTCCAGTGCTTTTGACGGCAATGAGAGTACGTAGAGCCTGCTTACGACCGACCCACGCAACTCGGCTTGCGAACTTGTGCGGTTCAAGGCTTTATACCGACCTGCATGAGGCGTCCCCAGACAAATCCGCCAGCTACGCGGACTTCAATGAAGTTACTCTGCTCGCGAAGGCCCCGCATTTAAGGTGCCAGTGTTGAGACTCAGGGACATGGCGAGGCATAAGTTCTTTATCACGACCATGACTTTCATGATGGCAACGAACGACATCACGGAGCAAGTGGGAACAACAACAACAAAAATGATTGTCATCATAGGGGCGCTTCAGCTCTTATGCTGCACGCCTGACGACAAAACCCGAGCCTGAGCTTCGTTGGAACACTGAGATGGAGAAGAATGACAGCTGCGATGCAAGAACCCCAAATGACACCTCTGACAAACGCGGCCAGCGCCCAGAGACCGGGGAAAAACACAGAAAGCCAAGACACATCATGAGGTCAACACACCTCGGGTCAGGCTTTTCCGGTTCGGTCTGGTGTGGTCTCATCTGCAGTCCCGCAACAACCAGAGCTTTAAAATCAGGCTGCACCCATGGCTCCGCAACAAGAATCCGAACATGAACTCTGAAGTTTGCTCCGTCTCTGCCCTCTACCCTTGCAAACCTGCGCTGGCTCGACATCGTGGCCAGATCTCTGGGACTTGCAGGTCGCATGTACACAGGGTGAAGACGTCTACAATGCCAGCTGTGTAATATGGGGGCCTCAAGAAGTACCAACACTATGCTTTTTTGGCGGTTCTGTATGATAAGTATAGTATAATGGGCCCAAAAACCCTATCCTAATGATTAAGGCCCAGATATGACGACAAGTTCACACCCTACATATCTTGATTCGAAAAAGAGGGACGAAATTCGATCACAGTAGACCGACTCTCAAATGCAGGTCCAAAAGTACTGAAGCAGCACAAACCATAACAACTTAATCTTTCACCTTCTGCTGATCGACGGCTCTTTCAAGATTAGGACGAAACCATGAGAAAACAACACAATATCCAAAAATACGAGCCTACCCGCAGAAAACAACTCCCAGCTGAGAGGCATGACGGCCGGAGATCGCCTTGGATCTACGGTTCAGGGACCACAATACAGGGGCCTGAAAAATTACCAAGAATATTTCGGGGGCTCCTTATTACAATGATGATATCATGTAACCCAAAAGCCTATTCTAATTATCAAGGCCCGGCCGCTACAGTTAGCTACAGCAGGAGGAACCGCTTGCAACAATAGCTCCTCAACTTAGTTAACAGGCCTTTTTGAGGGACGGGGGTGTTATTAACTGAAGAATATGGAAGAATCGAAGGCCAATGCATCGGGGCTAACGACTTTATTAAATTCGTTGCAAGGGCCAGCGAGGGGCAAAAGACAATACAGGCCAGGATGCCCCAGCCGGCTTGTGATCCCTAACATCGAAAATTAGGGGGTACCCTATTTTGGGTTCTTATGATAAGGATCCTGCTACTTAGGGTACTCCCTAAAGTATCACTGGACGAATCTTCGTTGAACAGGTGAACCCACTATATACATGAAAAGAAACTCAATTTTCTTAGGCACGAGCGCCGACTGCTGACAGGAGCACCGTGTCACTTGCGGGCAATTCCCTTCACAAGAACAACCCGCATGCCCGAAGATCTTGCTGCAAAACATGCGCATATAGGGCTGCATCAAGTCGATCACGGGCTCGCTTATGATGCGCAGAACCTGGGCAGCAAAGGCTTTCGGATTCGTGGATACAGGCCTTGCAAGGAAGTTCCCATCCCATAGCAAGAACGAGATGCCCAGGAATACTCCGGACTTTGGCCGGCTGGGACTCGGAGGATCATTGCATGTGTCAGGAAGCGGATGTTTCTGTTTGGGCAGTTGGAAATGATTCTGGGCAGCTGCATGCAAGCCGCATTGTCCACCACATCCTCTGCCATCGTCATGGTTTCATTGCCAGCGGTTAGGGAGGAATACCTGTGCATCATGTGTTGCGCTTAAGTATCCGGAGCTTCACAGTTCTTTTTGCTAGAAGACGATGGGAGTTTTGGATTCCGAACCCGCGGCTTCAATTTCGGTTGTGACTGTCAACGCGCCCCTCGTGACTAGTGAGAGCTCTTTCCCAGCGCTTCCAAACGGATGGCCTTCTACGGGCCTCAGTGTCATTGGCTAACGGCACTTCATTGAACCCATGCGGTGTTTGCCAAGTTTGCCATTTCAGTGCAGCGACGACTGGCAATGTTCTTTGCTGTGCCAACGCCAAGTCACAGTGCCGAGTACACTTGGCTGCGAAAGAGCTCGAGGACGTGAGAAATCTTCGAATGCATCCTCGCATGACCAAAAAACCGAAACCTCTGAATTTCTGGGCATGGACCTGAACCTGCAGTTTTGTTGCTCAGATTGCGGGAGTGTTTTGAGCTGCGAGGCAACAACTATGGAGCGAAGGGAGCCTCGGATGCCTAAGTCGAGGTGCCCCGCTGAGATGCAAGATCGTTTCCGATTTAGGGTTTAGGGAGACACACGCACACAACACACACACACACACACACACGGGGTTTAGGGGTTAGGGTTCAGGCCCTCTGTCTGAAACTCCCGACAGCTCGAGCTTCAAACCTGTGCCCCTCAGCAAAAGAAGCAAGGAAGACCAAGATTCCCCATCTTGGTGGTGAAGAGGACCTTACGGCAAATTCGGTTCCGCGCTCTATAGATTCTATAGCGTTCAAGAAAGGATATGGAGTTGTGTTCACGATGCAGACATGCAAGATGTAGCTGATGCCTGGCAATACAACGTATCTTCGGTTCGACGAAGCAGGTTGCGTGCAAAAGGCTGTCGAGCTATAATGGCACCCATCGAGGCATAACAACTGCATCACTACCTCAAGCTCTGTCTCAGGACAAGGCCTGGAGCATTTCGAGCCTACTAGGCCCGGAACTCGAACCCCCAAGCCACTCGAACTGTTGATATCTCAACCTTCGGCGCTTCATGGGGCATGTTGGTTCTCTCTGTCTCTGCTGCCGTGCCATGCTTGGATCTCGCTACGCCATGTTGGTTGGGACTCTAGGAGATCACTCCAGAAATCCAACACCCGAATTGACTTGCATGCACCGTATGCATATATTTAAAAAGCATGTAAACATGCAGAGGTATCTGTATATGCGCAATGACAGATCAGAATAGAAGAAACAACAACTTAAAACCAAACACATCACCACAAGACCAAAAGCATCCCTCCAATACCGGCAATTGTACAGGACTGGAGCACGAGCGCTTATGTTTCGTCGGGCGGCGATCCGCAGCAGTTGCACCTGTCAGAAGCCCTTTTTTTACATCTGGACTTGATGAATGCCAGCACCCCACTGTCAGAAGCCCTAGACCCTAAACCGCTCTTCGTCCAAGCCTTTAGAGCCTCAGATCGACCCAACTACTGGGCACAAGTGCTGCTTCAGGGATCCTGGACCTCAAAGAGGTAGAACTCCTTTATAAGAGGGCTCACACGCGCGTGGATACCCCACGAGGGCTGATGAAGCCAGAGGAAGTGCAGGGCTTAAAGACCTCGGGTTTGATGACTTCTTGCTACCACTACAGTAGACGAAGAGCGGGCTAGTCCAAAGACTACGAGCAGGATGACTTTCCTAGACGTTGCGCAGCTCTGCAGGGCAAACCTTCAGTAAGTAGTGCATCTGACTTCTCAGCACCGTGAGAGGGGCACTTCCCTCATGCATGGACGGATATGGACGGACTCCCTTAGATCAAACTGATCTGCCAGGGGAGTGCATTAAATCCCCGACACCCCTCTACTGTATTCTAGCTTGCAACTCAAGAAGTCTACATGACTTTGCCTCTTGTAGCATTGAAGCATAACCTTTACAGGGACCATAAGGGGTTGCTGTAGCTGATGATTCTCACCTACTCGAAGGGAACCCTAAACCCTCTTCCGGCAAGCCGGGCCTTGCAAGCCATGACGCCACTGCTCTCGTCCGTGACCGCATACCGAGCTGTGGCATCGATCAGCGGTGGAAAAAACTCCTCAGACCACGAGCGGGTCGGATTGAGGGTTTTAGACTGAAAAAGAATTCTTGGGTGGAAAGCGGAATTGGCTGAAAGGACATGCCAAAGTTGCCACAAGTCGCGTTCGAGACGTCTCAGGCATGATTCAATGATGTTGCGGATGGGGATGGTGATAATTGATAATGATGGATTGTGACAACTCATCTATGCTTCCGTCGCATTGCTGGCGGCTGGAGGATAGGAAGTGCTCACTGACGTACCAGTACCAGCTTGCCCTAAGCCACCCCTTCGCAATAAATTGAGCATGGCAACATGGCAGAACTATCTGAAAGGGACACTTCACGTGTCTGTTCGGACAAAGAACTCTCCAAGTATACAGGCATCCGACTCGCCTGCACTAGACTTTGCTACTGCCCAGCCACTCCTAAACCTCCCCGGCCCTGCCTTCGTCATGACGTTGGGGTCATGAACAGTGGCCTGCTCGGGACGTTAAGGTTTTCGGTTTCGACGATTTGGAGTTTCCAGACCGTGTAGCTTTTTGGACTGGGCGCCCAGAAAGGTTCTTGGTTGGTTTGCAAGGGGCCAGGGGAGGGGGTGGGGGGACTATACTTCCTAAACCAGGCCTTATTACGTCCTTTTCTAAGGGTCCCTATGATACTAAAACCAGGGGGCGATAGTGACCCGGCAGGGCAACAGTCCGCAACGTGACCTCATGGCACGTGGTGGGGAAGAGGCCTGGACCAAAGTCCAACTGCCGACCTTAACACACCGCAACTAGCTTTTTCGGCGGTTATTTCATTCTGCACGAAAGCAAAGGAAGAAAACATGAGTGTGAGTGCATAATGTGTCTGGGCATGTTTGTACGTATGCATGTGCGCACGAATGTACGAATCAATGTAGGTATATAGGTAGGGGACTGTATGCATGTATATGTATATGCTTAAGTCTGTGTATAAAGTATGCGTCAATGCGGCATCAGCTGTATAATGTATGTAAGTAGAACACAAATGCACAAACAACAAACAAACACAAACATACACACACACACGCCACCAAAAAAAACAAAAAAAAACATTGCAAGATCCTGCGAGGCCTCAGCACTCCCCGAAGAAAGTCAAACATCCGAGCAGTAAAGCAGAGCAGACGCACAAACATCGCAGCAGCATGGCAATCATTTCCCAAGTGCGACACCGCGCTACCTGGAACATCTTGAACTTTCATCCGTCTCCCAATTCGTGCAACATTAGCTCAATTCCCGGGCCCAGCTTGAACTTCCGAGCATGGGACAACTTGGCGCTGCCTCCTCAGGCTGTAGAAGTGGGATGATCGCCTGAGTGTCTCTCAGGGCATGCGCTCTCTTTGTAAGCTCAAGGCTTGAAGTGTGAATGTGTGCATCACACCTGTCCTCGAATGCGATGCCCCCTAATTACAGGCAGTTTTGGAGGACGTGATCCTCAACCTCGCAACAATCCCTTCACCAGGACATCCCAGCTCCCCTTTGACGGCCTCGTGCACATCCCCGCTGGCCTGCTCCTGTGGCGAAGGCTTTCTCAGAGCGTAGTATCCTAGAACAGTTCCCACCACCGCAAGTCTCGCTTCCCCTGCTTCCTCTTCCTGTCAAGATCTCTGCCCTGCGGGATACGCCCGATTCCAGGCAAATAGACAATATGTGAACTCCTAGTTTAATACTGTTTGCAGTTTAATGAGCCTGAACGATGACATTGTGGGGTCCACAAGACGACGACTGTGCTGGCCAGGAATTTGGATTCGAAAGTGGTTCCCTGCAAAAAACTTGCGGGCCCGAAAATGGGTCTGTTTTCTGAGCCTCCTGTGAATGTGTTAATTTTAGAATGCTCCAAAAACATGTCCGGAGCTTCTCAAACAAGCGTTTCACGAAAAAACACCAGAGACGACCGTTTGCAGTCCGTCGCTTGCCATGTTTTCTCACGCATCTGGCCCCCAAAAATTCCAGGCGACGGACAAGGCAAACTGTCGTTTCGCATTCAGAAATAGTGTTTGTGCTGTCGCTGCTGGCGGTTTCATGCCAGACTGGACGGCCTCATGTTTGCCGGGCTGCAGGATCTCCAGCAAGCACCATGTCACACATTGTGCGCGAAGCCTGAATCCACAAAGCCCTCCAGCCTGAGCCCTTTCCTGCGAGCCGCTGGCCCTCCCTGAGCCCGAAACGCAGGCCTTCGGCTTGAGCCGCTTCTCGCGTACGGGGGCATGGAGCAAGTCCTCAGGTGCTATCCAATCAAAGCTCGCCAATGTAGGCACAGGTAACTTTCAAAACAGCTTCAACAATGCATCCTGTCACACAAACCCCTCAAACGCGAGAGCTTCCAGCCACGGCTCGGTCCGCCCATCCAGGCACCTGAGCAGCGGACCCTGCAGCTCCTGCGAGACAGTGAGGGTCTATGGGAGTGGAATGTAATGTAACAGTGTAACTCAACAGAACTACGCTAAAACCATCAAGAAGGGTTCCCTCGGACCGGCCATGACAATGACTCGGACTCGGGTGGCACATCGGACATGGGGTTGGAGGATGGGATGCGCCTGGAAGCAAGCGAGGTTCGGCACGAAGCCAAACGTTTGCAGCAGCCGCAATACGTTGAGCACCTCATGGGAGTTTCCGACAATAGGGGACTCTAATATAGTACCCTGAATAGTAGGACCCTTATTTTAAGGACCCCAAGTTAAGGTACCCTAATTTTTGGAAACCCCCTCATCTGGAAGCAACGTTTCGGCCCAAAGCTGGGCTGATGAAAGGGAAGTGTCTGGCAGCCGTACATGCTGAAGCAACCCTGACCGGCTCAGAAACCGCCGCAACTACAGCTGTGGTCATTACACTTGTCAACTACCACTGCCCTCAACCCTAAACCCTTAACCTGAAACCCTGAACCGGTACTAGTGTGTTTCTGAACCGTGGGGGATCTCAAACCAAATTGCTCTGGTTGTCTCTGACGAGCAGGTGAACCCTACCAGGACGGAGGCCCGAAGAGCTTTCAGGAGCTTCAGGGCTTGGGGCTTGTTAAGGGCCTTAACAAGTAGAATGGGGTGTTGAGGTATATAATGCTATAACTATGCTATAAGTAATTCTCTCTCTCTCTCTCTCTCTCTCTCTCTCTCTCTCTCTCTCTCTCTCTCTCTCTCTCTCTCTTAGCAATTACGCCCCCATATCAGGTCAAAAAACTATGGGTGAGGCTTTGGGGGCACGGGAATTGCCGGTAAAGTCGCCGCGGTTGGGTTTGGGTAGAGAATCAGCGCAGCGCGAAACAGCCCAGGAACTCCTTGTGCCCGTGGACCGCCATATGACTCAGGTACATTCAACCCAGAAACCCGAACAAGTAAACCAACCCCTCCAGTCTTTTGCGGAGCTGCCGCAGCCATGAGCGCGCTCTCCTGCGCGATGGCAGCTTGCTGGGCCCCGCGCGGGGTTAATTTTCTTGTCGTTTCTATGGTTAAGATGATTAGTAGCGTTTTTGGCCGTCAGATGGGTCTGGAAGATAACGTCAAGTCCGGTCTTTAATATCCCTAGTATGGGCTATTATTGGCTATCAACGACTTGAACAGGCAAGGTTATCAACGGCACATGCCAGTGTGTCGACCAGACTATGACTGGGCACCGTCCGCCGGAGTCACCAGCACATCCGCAAACCTGCTACTGTAGTCGTCGGGCCATTGATGGGAGAATGGGATCGGCCGAGAAGGTTGCGAAACTGAACAATTTAGTTGTACAAACGGGCGCCTTTTGAAGCAGTGATAAGTGATAAGACTCGAGAATTGGGACAAAAGCCTTTCTGCTGATAAGTCTGGCTTTACAGCTCGCGGACGTATGGAAGATGTGGAGTTGAGCTGAGGATTTGTGGAAGCTGACATGTAGAATGCGCTCACTCTTGCGAGCCAGGCGAGGTCTGATTCCGGAACAAATCATCCACACCAGCCATCTCGGCATCGTAAGCCACAACAATTTATCGCAGTGCCCACCTATTGGACGAATCACTCTTTCCCCGATGCTACAAACCAAGATCCTGGAGCGGCTCCTGCGGCAGCAGGCAAACCCCAATCGTCGGGGTTTAGGGTTGTAAACTGTAGCAAAGCCTGAACCCAGCACAACCAGAACGCGAGTCGGAGCATTTTCTGCTAAAAGACTCGCATGAGCGCACGAGCAGGTCTCTCATCAACTTACCTTTGGTTACTAGGGAATGGAAGAATGGTAGTAATAGCAGTTATAACTGTACCCCATTCTTCCATTCCCTACTCACCAAAGGTAGGCACAGGCGCAGACACTCGGGTCCGACACCCGGTAGAAGTAAACATAACCTAGCAGCACCTAACATCAGATTTGCTCAAAGGGGAAAGGGAGGGACCCTTAATGGGGACCCCTACCCTGTAATGGGCTATAATAATGGGTATATAATAGCTATATTAAGGGTATATACCTAGGGGTCCTTCTTAAGGGTCCCTCCTTTTACCCTTGGATTTGCATCACAAGAAGCCGCGGCTTGCTCTAAGAGGCCGTCGAGCAGAAAATCGTTGACATACAGGCGCGAAGATACTAGGATACCCAGTAACCTAAGAATAAAACGGCCTCTCTTTTTGGTATTGGGTAACTTTATAAGGAACCTAGGACTACAAAAAGGGAATAAGGGCACTACTGGGCATCCTGGGATAGCAGATCAACGGCCCAAAAGGGTCGGCAAAGCGAGCTCTGCTCACAGCCGAACCTCGAGCCACCGGAAAACATCTAACTTTAGCTGTGTTGCTACAAAGCTTGGGGATCTAAGTCCCCAAGACCATTGATGCAACGGCTGGCCCCGTTCAAAAACAAGTAAGATGCTCTGAACCTGGTTCCTTTAAGGAAACTGGGTAGCTACACGGCTACATAACAGAAAGGCTGGCTCTGAAAGGCAGAGTTAAGATCCTTGCCAGGCTCTGACCCAGGCGCTATCAATGAAGCCCATAGCAAGATCCCACAGTCTTGAAAGATTAGAAAACATGTCTCAAAGTCCGAACTTCTTTGCACCCAACGACCCAACAGTGCCAAGTGCCGCTAAGTGTGCAGGGAAACATTTGCAACCAGGTGGTACGAAGGACGTGACAGAACCGCAGTTCAATACAGACAGACCAAGCCCCACAGTCAGAGATGTCTCAGAAGGGGGGCGACATCAGCTGACAGGCTGACAGGCTGTGAGTGACTGTCCAAGATACGGCTGCTGAACATTGAGCTCCAGCAGCAACTATATGAGCCCGATCTCCGTGCTTCCAACAGCGAGGGAAATGCACATACAGGTCTTGGGTCATAAAGTATCTCCAAATCTCTGAAGCTAAGAAAAAGCGAGCCTGAAGTCTGGAGCTCGGATGTCGGACGACACTTGACACTAGCTAGTCGTGGCTGTGTTCGCTGCAAGCTCCCTTTCGCTACGGTTTCGAGTGCCACTGAAGGTCGTAGCGTAACCAACCCCGATGCCCGCCACGCGAAACTGCGACGACTTAGAACTTCTCATGCTTGTCATTGACACAGCACACTCCGATATGGGGAAAATGGGCCAACGCCCGTAGTGGATGACAAAACTCAAGCAAGTAGCTCTTCTGCTCCGTCTGTGCCTTCTGAGCTTTGCAGGCAGCTGGTTACCAGCATGCAAGGACGGCTATACAAGAGACCGCTCGGAAGGCAACAGCTCCTTGCTGAACAGCGGCCGTCTCTGATCCGCGAAGGGACCACTCGCATTGAAATTTTCACATGTGTAATGGTATGGGGCTGCACAGCACAGCACAGCACAAGCAAGCTCGACATCTCTGCAAGGAAACCCAGGAAAGTCTGTTGGCCATACAAGAAACAACAAACAACGAACCATAAATCGTACATACGCCACAGACGACAAACAACCAACAGCCAACAACCACAACAAGCCACACACGACAAACAACAAACCACCAACCCACAAACATCAGCCAAAAGCCCACAACAACAACAACAACAACAACAACAACAACAACAACAACAACAACAACAACAACAACAACAACAGCGGCAACAGCAGCGGCAGCAACAGCAACAGCACAAAGAACAAAAAAAACCGAACAATACCAACCAGAATAACAAAAAGAGCGAGAATAATAATGAGAAAACTGCAATAGCAAGGAACACAACAAATGCAATAAACAAAGAACAATAAAGACCTACAATAATGCAACTAATGAGAAGAAGAACAAAAACAAGAACAATAACGACAATAACAACAGTAACAATAAGAACAAGCACACTAACAGTAAGAAGTACAACGAGTACTGCTGTCGCCACCACTAGTCTGCCACCACCGCCACCATTACGACTTCTTTCAAAGCTGGTATCGCTTCTGCTATCACTACGAGGGGGGGTGCTGATCATGAGACTTCTGAACTGCCTGACTATCGCCAAAGAAAGAGCGCAACAACAGCCACATAATATAGGGGCCTTAATAATTAGAATAGGGTTTTGAGGCCTAACCACCAAAATAGCATTGGTAATTATTAAGGCCCCAATAATACCCCATATCCTGACCTTAGCTTGGAAAAGAATTTTCAAACGCACCGAGCATTCAAACGGGACAACATGAGCAACATGATAATTCCTCTAAGCTATGAGCTGAAGCCTGCATGTTGTACAATTGCGTGTGCCGTTTCAGCCACTCACCATCCTTCCGAAACGCTTCTTCGAGAATTATAAGATTTGGAGCGAAACGGGCAACCAAGCAGCATCTTTTTTGAACACCGCTTTCTCAACGAGAGCCTAAATCGAGCCCGAAACCCCCACATTCCAAGTCAGTCCTGGCCATCAAGCACGAATGCACTGTGCGGCTTCCTAGCACAGCTTACCAAGAAATGCCAACATCGAGTCAAGAGGGCTCCAAGAAAGCTGGAATCGATGCTTGAACCTAGATCTCGACCAGATCCTCGTCGTCTGTGTCATTGGCAGCCAACGCGTGAGAGATGTGCACCCTCCCCTCCAGAATGTCCACCAAGTGCGCCGGCGCGTTTGCCTACAGGGCGACCAACTCAGGGTGACCGTGCTCATGCTCATGGCTACAACAGAACTATGAGAGCGAACGACAATGGAAATGGCTCGAACCATCATAGTGGATACCACCATCATACTCTCCGTGGTCACGGTCATCGTACACGATATTTTTGTTGAAGGCGTGCTGAGGCCAAGGCGTGGGACGGGAGAGAGCGTTCTCTGAACAGCTCAAAACGGCGATACCGCAAGGCGTGCATCGACGAGAGCGCTCTCGGAACAACTCAAAACGAACCAAACTTAAAACCTGCCAAGCTTCACAGACCTCAGGAGTTGAAACGGTAGATTGCTTTTACTGTGCACTCGTCTCCAAGCGGCCTCTCTGGCAAAGTCTGCAGCTCTCTTGCCTCGCTGGTTTCGGAGAGTGGTATCTGCACCCGCTTCCTGGGCTCTTGGGCGGCAGACTCGGATACTGGGCTTTGTGCCTGCATCAGTCATGTCCATGAAACTACGTGGATGCGGGATTGAGATGCATTCTTTGAGTTAGCAGTGCAACAACTGACGTGCTCATGTTCGAACCTTGCTCCACCCACCTACCCCATCCCAGATTGCCAGAGAGCTTCAAGGAGGAGATAGGACGCTGCAAAGAAGCAACTCATGAGACTCAGCATGAGTGGCGTGGCTCCTTGGCTGCTCCAGCTTGACGTCAGAAAAGGCGGCGTAATGTAGGGGCCTTAATAGTTAGGATAGGGTATTAGAGGAAAATATACCCCCAAACCCTATTCTAATTATTAAGGCCCCTCTATTACCGTTCCCCCCAAACCCAAGAGCACCGGCAATGGAAAGACCGAGACTCCAGGATGATGGTAGCAGAGCGCTGTCAGTTTGCTTGGGTTGACCCTGTGCCGTAGGCGCTGCACTAGTAAGATGAATCGAAAGAGCGGCGGATGCTCTCTTTTGTACTGCTCATTCACATCGGCTCTTGCCTGGTCGCGATCAGAATTTGTAGCTGTCTGAGGCAATAGCAGCAGTTGTAAAAGCAGCACTGGCAGCAGCAGCGCAACGGCACCAGTGGGCAGTAGCAGGAGTCGTTGTTGAAGATGTCGTAGTAGCAAGAGAAGAAGCAACAGTCGCATTGGTAGAAGCGGTGGTAGGAACAAGTAGTAGTAGCAGCAGCAGCAGCAGTAGTAGTAGTAGTAGTAGTAGTGGTAATATTAATTATTGTTATAATAGTACTGTAGTAGCAGAAGTACTACAACAACTACTACTAGCAGCAGCAGCAGCAGCAGCAGCGGTAGTAGCAGCAGCATTAGCCTTAGCGGCAGTAGCAGTAGCAAGATCAGCAGCAGCAGGAGCAGGAGAAGGAGCAGGAACAGTAGCAGTGCGTAGCAGTAGCAGGCGCAGGCGCAGGAGTAGCAGCAGCAGCAGTGGTAGCAGTAGCAGTAGCAGTAGCAGCATCAGCAGAAGCAGCAGTAGGAGTAGCAGCAGCAGGAGCAGGAGCAGCAGCAGGAGCAGTAGCAGTAGCAGTCGCAGTAGCAAGAGCAGCAGCAGCATCAGGAGCAGCAGCAGGAACAGTCGCAGCAGCAGGCGCAGGAGCAGTGGCAGGAGTAGCCGTAGCCGCGATAAGAAACATAAGAGCACTAGTAGCAGTAGCAGCAGCAGCAGCAGCAGCAGCAGCAGCAGCTGTCTGAGCAGTCGTCGTCCTAGTCACCATCAGTGGGCTTCCTGGCACCGTCCAGCAGTTTACGCCCTCCCGCGGCCTGGATCAAAGTGGAAATGACTGGCCGGGTACCTCCATCAGCCATCAGGGCAGCGTGCAATCCGTGTCGGAGGCTCGTGGAAGGACTCTGAAGCATTGCCTCCAGGGCTTTATAGGGCAGCTTAAGGGCTTGGGGTCTTAGTGTCGGATTTGGATTGTCCTTGTGTTGGGGTCTTACTTGGGGGGCATGGATTGTCACCCTATCTTGCCTGCACGATTCGGAGAGACCCTGAGAAGCAGGCAATTTGAAAGGTATCGAAACCGGGCAAGTTCAGCTTGCTAAGATCCGCTCCAGCATCACACAATGCCTGCAGACCTTCCACGTTGTCTGCTACACTCGCCCAGTGAATAGCAACACTAGCATGGCCATCGACTGCATTCACGTTCGCCCGCGCAGACAGCAGCAGCTTCAACACTCCATTCCGACGGAAATATGCTGCAAGTGACAGGACGGGCATGTTCTGCGGAAGAAGCATCTTCGGCTTGTGTCGGGTAATCCTGTCGTTGCAATCTGCTTTCTGTTTGAGCAATGCCTTGGCTGAGTCTTCTTGACGACATCCCGCTGGGACACTCTTACTTCTTGAGTCGTGTCGTCTGGCATAGCCTATGTTTTAGCAGTGTTAGCTGACACAGAAAAGGAGGTTCAAAGATGTCAAAGCTACTTCCACCAGGAACTGCTTGCCGGAAAGGGCAGCATAACACATGGGTGTCCAGCCTGCAGAATCTCGCTCCGAAACCGCCTTGAAGCCCGTGTCATGCAAAAAGCGTTCCACTGCAAAGGCCTCCGGGCAGGCGAAAGGATCCGCTTGCGACACGAATCCGGGCATCAAGCCTTCGAGCGGAAGAAAGCCGAGCCCCGAGAGGCAGCAGATATCTTGCGTGCTCAAGAGATACCGGAAGTTGTGCATGTCATCTTGTTCCAGGTAATATTGCAATTTCTTCCAGACCATCTGTACAAGCACGCGACCAACTCGAGCACGGTCCGTCTCCAACGTAAAAAGGCCGGCACCGGGCGAATCCAGGTGCCGATGCAGGTTTGACATAACGTGTTGCTGCGTCTCGCTCTCGACTACGACCACAAAGCCATCATCCCGCACTGCAAGTTCTCTGGCCACACGCTCGGTGCGACACCTGAGTGGACGGCCCGTGCAAGGCTCCAGCATGCTTTTCCACCTCATGCCTCGGCCTCACGTGCTGCGTGGGTCTTGAGTCTAGGCCGTGCCGTTCCGCCTGATATAGGGGCCTCAATACTTACAATAGCCCATTATACTATAATTACAAGAAAGAACCCCCAAAATAGTATAGGTAATCATAAAGGCCCCTGTATTACACGGCGTCAAAGTGCAAAGCAAGCATGGTTTACACCGGGACAATCATCGAAACGGTTCAGTGTCTTCGGAGTGTGTTAGCCGGTCCTTGCCGCTTCGGCACCCGGCAAAGCGAAGTAACTTCGATTTCCACTGTCGCTCATCACTTGCTTCCAGAAGCTCACACACCGCTCAGTCAACAACTTTTTACGTGGTTTTTTTAGGGCATGTGGAGGTTCAAAAAAGCAGCAATCTGAGGCCCGACCAAGACATGAAGCTTTCTTAGAGGTTCTAGGGTTATATTTAAGGCAACTACACTTATATCTTATATGTACTTATAATCCCAAGTAGGGTACTTCTAACTATACTTACTTAGTCCCATGAACCTTCAAGTTAAAGTGAAATCCAAGAGTCCATGCATGTCCATGCTTCCTCAACCCCAGAGCAACCGAAGGTAGGATTTATCACTGCTTCTGCACTTCATTTTCTAAGTGCTCGGTGGGTGCCTGGGGTGGAGAGCAGCTGGGATTCTCTAATAATCTGGTTTGTTCCAGTATCCTGCCCGATGTTGCTACAGGCTATGGTAGGTCTTTGTGTTCTGTTCTGCATGAATACGAACTTGAGAGACGCAAGCCTCCAGCATCCTGTGCTAACGACCAATGCGTACCTTCCACGCCCGGCCTCAACTTAGAAAGTAGAAATGAGCCCATGCAAAGGTCTGTACTAGTAGAAAACTATTCTCTGTAGTCCGCATGTACTTATACAACATGTAGCCCCGAACCCCTCGTGCAATGCTTCTATATTACAAGGTCACTCATTCAATCATGCTCTGTCCTCTGGCGACAAATGAGTTCCGGACCAACCCCTCTCTGCCCAGCTTGCATGATTCAGCACCTGCTGCTGATTTGCATGCTGTAGCTCCGGGCACAGGATCACAAAGTACTCGCACCTGGCATTGCCACCCCGACTACTAACAGTTGCATCTGCTGTTCTAATTTGGTCTTTCTTCGCCTTGAAACAAAGGTCACGATATTGTCTATGGCACGTTGACGGTCGGCTCTGGAGAGATCACTCGCCCCCTGTGGGCAAGAGAAGTAGTCATACCAAACAAACCTTGGCTGTGCTTGAGAACTATCCGCAGAGAAATGCTGCGACCCTGTTTCTGGCTTATGCCACTCCCCAATCCCCACATTCGAGTTAATGAAACCGTCCTAAGCTATCCAAGCAACAGTCGCCCGGATTTGAAATCAGCAGCTTGCGGTGTCTTCAAGCGTCCATAGAAAAGCTCGACCGTGACTGGTAGGGACACACGGCTCTGTCCGGACATGATGTTGTGCAGAGCGCCTTGGAGAACTCTGAACTGATGACCTGATGGATCCTTGGTTCATGCAGTAACCTCAGTAACCCAGTAACCGCTCTCTCTGTCTGTCACAACTTCGTGGGCGAAATACACTCACAGAAACCTTACAAGCCTTACATAGTTTCCAATGTGCCCGTGTCAACAATGCCCGACAATGCCCAAGGATCTGGATGGTCGTTTGAAAGCCATTGGTGCGACACGAACATTGCACTGCCCAAGCTCTCGTCGAACGGTACAAGGGCCCCGGTGCGCAGCAACTCCTGGTGCACGTCAACTGTCACATTCAAGTCCAAACTTGCGATCGCAACGAAAAGGTAGCTCTTCATGCACGGCATGTGTTTCGATTCCCCAACAGGGTGTCCTTGCTCACTTGCCCGAATTAAAATCTATCTACCAGTATCTATCTCTGTATCTCTGTATCCATCTCTCTGTCTGCCTGTCTGTCTGTCGGACCGTTACCTGTCTATATCTCTACCTAAACACCTAATTACTAACGTAACCTAATCAAACCGATCTAGTCTACTCTATCCTGTAGAACCATCTATCTATCTGTCTATCCGTGTGTATGTACCAGTATTATATATATATATATACACATCACTTTCACTTTCAATGGCGATGAATCCTGGTCGGATGCAGCCTTGTGGCTTGCAAATTAATTAGGGTGAAAGCTGCTGAAGAGCTCCCCAACGTCGGGAAAGTTGGAAAGGAGCCGCAAGCCAAAAATCTCGGTCTGGTGGTTCGCAAGCCGACACAACGCATCAAGGCCGGGACAGACAATGTCAGGGCAAAGGAGAAAGGCAGGCTGGCCAGCAAGCCACAGTTCTGCTGTGCCGCGCACAATGTCTGCGAAGAGCCTTAGTCGATGGAGGTGAGGTGTAAGCAGGCGAAACGACCGAATTGGCGATGGAGTGGAAAGTCCAGAAAGGAGTCCACAAAGGCAGAAACCTCGGATGGTGGTGTTAGGGGAGGAACACCACTCCTTCACTTGGAAACGCCAAGGTTCTTTGATGTACTGAGCGTGCTCAGTAATGCACCAATGGTAAGGAACAGGACTGCCCTGAATTTTAGGGCTGGCAGCACAAAATGTAACTGCATCCTGGGCTGTAATGGTGCAGATGGGCAGTGTAACAAACCCAAAGGAGATCCAAGGAAGCACTGTGGCAGCATCCCGGAAAGTGGAGTGTCCCGACACACTCTCTTGTGCTCCTCCAGCAAGCCACTCAACTATGTCAGTCTGACATAGGAGTTTAGCGAGTTTGGCATGCCAAGCGGCCCACTCAACTGCAACATCCTCATTCTGGGCAAATTCATCCTCAAGGGATGTCCGCCAGGCGATTGCTGTAGCCCGGAGTCTAGAGCGTTGCAGACACACACGTTGGAAAATATTCCGAACGTGCTGAAGAAGCTCATTGAACGTGGCTACTTCACCAGGATGCGCAAACAACTCCTCTAGGGCAAGTAGGAGTTGGGGTTCAGGTCTCTGAGACTCCGGAACAAAGTCAATGGGAGGGGCTGGACAAACAGGGCCTGCGGCAGTAATAGCAGGGCACATGATCTCATCCCCTGATCGAAACTTTTTGCTGTTACGACCTGGTTGTACCTCTGCTTGGGCATCCCTGGCTATCAAGGCAGCAAGGCAGGCAGTGTTGTACTCAAGATGATTGCTCAACTTGAAATTAGAGGCAAAATGTCGAAGGCAAGTGCCGCATTGGGTGCCGGAAGCATATTTGCGAGCTTCCCTGAGACGGCCGTGACATTTAAACGCGTGGTGACTCCAGCACCGCAGGTCAGAGAAAGTTCTCTGGCAGAGCCCACAGATTTCCTGTTTGGAATCGGCGACTTGGACATCCCATTCGAGGTATGCTCCAGACGCGAGTAATGTCCTTAAGAACAGCCCGTGATAGTGCGAAACTTCTGCCTTCCAGACATCAACAAGGCGAATCACATGAAGCGCAGTGGAAATCCTCCGCTTCCATCGTTGAGGCTGGTGGAGGATGTGATGGAGGGTACTAGGCCAATCAGCAATGTCTGCAGTGTCAAGTCCGCCCTGGCTGAGCGCGTCACGCAGCCATGCGAGGGAAGCACTGGCTAGGCCCAGCCACTGCCTTTCGTAATGCAGGATCGCCCAGAACTCATCAGGTGCACGGGCAACAACAATCGCAAGATGGCGGAGACGAGCAGCATGGAGCTCTTCTGTGACAGTAGACAGACGAGCCTTTGCTAAGACAAAACCTGCACCGAGATGTAGTGCTGCCTCCCAGTCATATGAAGGCCGCAACATTGCCGTGCCATTGTGAGTTGCGCCCCAGCGAGCGCCTCGACATCCTTCTCGTCTCCGTAGACCCAGGTCCCTGCGCCAAAGAACATTGCCGATGCAACAAGGGACTGGAATAGCAAAGCTTTCTCTCGATGAGAGACAGTGGGGGATGCAAAAATGGCACGTTTGTGCTTCTTAAATGCATGCCAAGCTTGGCCGAGGCGCGAGCGAATCTCAAAACGGAGAGTGCCCTTCCAATGAAGGATGCCACCGAGGTGGCGATACTGAGGAACAAGGCGCAAAGCAGCGGGAGGGTGCACCTGAGGGGAGACCTCGAGCCTGGCATCCGGCAAGCAAAAGAGCTTGGCCCTAAGCTTCCGTGAGTCTTTCCCTACAAGAGAGACGATGGCCTCGGTCTTCCCAGGATCAAGGTTCGGATATAGCAATGCCTTGACACATTCATCAAGCAGGATCTCTGTTGCACGTTTGACACTGCCGATGAGCTTTTGAGGGCAGGCATCCCAGATCAGAAGCGCGAGATCGTCCATCCATGAAACATCAAGGGGGGCAAGCTCGACAGATGGGGGGCAGGTGGCCTCAAGTTCTCTTGCCCAAGAGGGGTGCCAGGGAAGGCTGACGGAGATACCTTCGGCAAGGATGGCATCGCGGACCCTTCGCAGTACAACCGAGAAAAGGAAGGAGAAAACGATGTCTGCGAGTGAATCACCCGGTCGTGTACCAGCAGATACAGCAGCAAGCTGGCCATCAATGCTGAACCATGTATCTGTGTGAAATTCGCGGAGGAGGGCAGCAGCCCATTCCGATGCGCCTGCCTCCTGGATGAGGGCAGTCTGGCGAACGTATTCTCGCAGTGATTCGATTTCTGTTGGAGGGATTTGAAACGCAGCGAGTACCTTTGCAATGTGGTCATCGCTTAAGTCACCTCCGTGCACAAGTGGTCTCGCAACCTTGTGGAACGCCTCCCGAAGATCGAGAAACACAAGGGCTGCGCTGTAGCCCTTTGCAAGCGCAGCATGTTGGAAGGAACGTGCTGCATGCGCGGCTATCTGAACCGGAAAGCCTTTCCTCCCTCCAACTTGGAGGGGGGTGGCTAAGGCATTGAACCACTGATTGCATTTGGTCCTGAAGGCGCCGTGCAAACACTTGCTGAATGCACTTGAAACTAGGATCCCTCGGTAGCTAGCACAAGCATCTTGCGGTCCCTTGTTTTTCCAAATTTGGAACATGGTCCCACCTTTCAGTTGGAGGGGTTCCTCAAGCCTAAAGGCTATCTTCAACAGAAGCGGGTACATGATTCTGGAAAGTGTGGGTGCCTGGATTTTCCAAAGCTCTGCTGGTAGAGCATCGTTGCCAGCAGCGCGATCAACCTTGGCTGCTCGCATGGCTGCCTCGAGATCGGCCCTCGATGGCAACTCAGAAGTCTGGACTTCTAGGTCGTCGAGTACAGCTGTGGCTTGCCTGGCCCTACATCGCTGAATGAGTTGCTCAGGCGCTATAGGCCCTCCATGCTCGGCTTCACTGAAGTGACGCAGCCAGCGCGCTGTGGCATCCTGCGGTGAGGCGGCGAGAGCACCGGATTCAAGCCGCACCGCAGGGAGTGGCGTTGGGCCCTTCTGACGTCTGCGAGGCGGACCTATTAGTGGCCTCAGCTTTGCAACAACATCGCGCGTGGTTGAAACACAGGCTTTGTTGGCAACTTCAGAGAGATAGGTCTTGCGATCCTGGCAGAGAGCACGGCGGAAGGCGGGCTTCAGGGCCTGTAGCTCAACGACTGCGTTCCGAAGTCTTGCAAGCTGTCCAAGGGCAGAGGCTAGGCCACGGCAGGCAACGCTGGAAAAAGGGGCAGACCATCGCCACGCAGTGTAAGCCCAACGCAATGTTGCGCTGGAAACAAATGCACTAGCCTGATGCGCCTGCCGGCGCAACCACACACGTTGTTGACGCAAGTGCCATGTGGTATCGGAGAAAAACGGACGTCTCCGCCTAGCACTCTTTGCAGGAAAAGCAACAGTGAGGCGCTGTACGAGGTGAGTCGCAACCTGTTGATAGTGGGCGTGAGCGCCAGTGTCCCATGGGACGTCGGGGATGGAAGCACAAATTTCCTGGAGTAGGGGCTGCGATTCGGGCTGCTGTAAACTATAGCGATCGAATTTCGCTGCTGACTTCCCCTTCTTGGCAATGTGTGCCCCAAAGGAAATGTCGAGATCTAGCTGGACAGCATAATGGTCTATCCCAGACTGTCCGAAGTCAACATCATAGAGAACCTTGGATGCTCCAGGCTGGACGAACCATGACGCTGGAATCAGTATGTAATCTATGCGGGATACGGCTTCTCCCTGCGGGGCTACCCAGGTGTGGCTCTGACCGTGGTGGCAAGACCCGAATGTCGAGGGTAGCCACAAATCCTGTGCTTCAATGAGTCGAAAAAAGGGAGGTGGGGGTGCATGAGAGTCCTCCCAAACGAGATCTCCAACACGGTGGGCAAGGGAGTGGATCATGCGAGCATTCAGATCACCAAGAATGACGATCTTGTCATCCTTGGCGCAGACTGCAACCCTACACACAAAATCTCTCCACCACTCCTGCTGGGTGGGATGGCCGGATGTGGGAGCGTGGCAAACTATGAAGAGAATTCGCAGAGAGCCCCGCACGTATCTCACAAAGAGGGCACGTGGAGACCAGTGCAGGACGCGAAAGTCGTTGAGCTCACAGTAGACAGGCTGATTTCCAAGCCACCCGAGTGGAACTCTTCTAGAGATCCAGAGTTCGACACCGAAATTGCCTCCTTCATCCCCGGCAGAGAGGAAGCGGTAATGGGATTGCGATGTCACCGTAGCTGTGGTTTTGGCCCGAGTTTCCTGAAGTCCAACAACATTGCATTGAATGCGGTCAAGCTGATCACGCACAAAAGGGACCCTGTTGGGCTGGGAAGAAACAGAGTGCTCACTTAGTGTTTGCACATTGACGGTGATGAGGCGGACTTGAAGACGGAACGGCTCGCTGGAGTCGGGGTGGTGAATGCCTTTTTTGAAGCGGCTGCCGAAGGCCTGCTCGGGCGTAAGGCAGTCAGCGCTGTTGGAACTGGGGCCAACACGGTCGTGAAAGACATGCCCCAGAAATGTAGGCCAAAGAGAAGGCCGACAGATGGCGGCAACAGACAGCCAAAGCCATTCGATGTTTCCATCCCGTGCCCACTCGCAAAGGCGGAGGAGGTGCTGAGGGATGGTGGTTGGTGGAACAAATTGCGCTCCGGCAAGGGTGTCGGCGAGTTCGTTGTACGGATCTCCGACATGACCCCTGACATGTGCAATATGTAGTCCTTGGTCAATGCTGAGGACTTCATGCACTTGGGCAAGAGCTCGACAGGCTCTGGCAATGACAATCTCAGTGGAGGCCCCATATTCACCACTAGCCTGCCTTGCGGCGACTAGGCAATCACTGAAGATAGTCCGAGGAAGGTGAGTACTGGCACCTAGCAGCCAGGCGAGCGCCCAGAAAACAGCGGTTCTTTCCCCGTTGACTGCGCTATGTTGCTCGGCACCAATGTGGTAAGGACTACCCTGGACCTCTACCTGACCTCTAGCCCAGGCTAACACATGCTGTCCTCTGTCAGTAATGGCTATAACGACAAAGGCCCAGCTACCAAGAGCTCCATCGAATGAGCCGTCAGTATAGATAGCAAGCTGCTCAAGGTGGGCGTGCTGGACCTCACGATCTGGGACATGTTGCTCTAAAGCTGATATATACACATACATACATACATACATACATATGTAACGGTTGCATCCGCGAACATACTCTAATACGCAATCGAGCCAGCTTAATTCCGGAAACACTGTCTCTTCGTTATGTTGTATGGCTATGGCATGAACCATGAGTTTCAAAACTCTGAATGGTGGCAGAGCAGTTAAGCAGCTCCTCGTGCATCTGAATCTCACGCATCGCAAGCAGGGCTCCTATCGAAACTGTGTACCTCGGCTCTGCGGTGGCTCTGATGCAAATGCAAGCCCTGACGTCTCCGAACACCGGGGCTTCGAGCACCTACAAGGCCCTGAGGAATCTCAAGCATCAGTTCCTCACCCAAGGTGCATTGGAAAAGGTACGCTCTGTGGCAGTGGAGGAGTGAGCGAATGATACAGCTCCGGCGCGGGCTGTTGCCGCTCGGCTACGAAGTCAGAGGCAGTCGAAGCCATTGCTGCTCAGCTGCGCCACTGTCTAGTGAGCACAACTGGACTGCTCTCCCAGAAAGCCGAAATGCAAGAAGGATCTTGACCACATCGAACCATGTAACAAGACACGGACGGCACCCCTAGCCATATTATAGCCTGATAATAACATAGCACAAGCCACTGGCATGCACAGACTCAAAACAACATACGTGGATGCAGCATAACAAACTGGCAACACGAGCCGTTATCATTGGTCTGGGTGCCTTGCGAACATCATTAGCATGCCTGGGCTTCCTGTTGCTCGTGCTGACATCGCGAAGATGAATGCAGCGAGAGTTCTTCATTGCAAGTGCAAGAAAAGGCCGCTGACGGACTGACTGACCGTCGCTTGCATATGTTCCAGTTGTTCGAGTATCTCAACTCTTAGATTTGTACCTCCTGCACCGCATGCGCTGTAGGGTGCGGAAAGGGCTGCTATATCAGATTCCAGGGGCTAGGTCCGTAGGTCCTCTAGGTTATTCATGTCCTATTGCCAACTGTTGCGGCCGATATACTTCAATACACTACAATAACACAAAGAATAATCATTATTCAACAATGCTATAATATTACTAATAATGTAATATAGTACGAAACAGACAGATGCAGTATCCTCCGCATGCCCATGGAGCATCTGCTCCACACTCCGCCCGGCACAAATGAAGCGACGAACCTTGGGGGTTTGGGGGTGCAGGGTTTGGGGTTTCGACGCTCACACTCGCACAAGGCAGGCAAGGCTCCACATAGGGTTTGGGGTTTAGGGATTACGGGTTTGGGGTTTTTCCCTCCTACTTCGCCAGGACGAGGCCATTGCAGGGTACGAACCTTGGCGGTTCAGAGCTTAGGGTTTGGACACGTTCATCGAATTTTCGGTGCGGCACCGCGGTTGTTGCTGCAGACGAGTGTCTCAATGCCCATCTGCACAGACGTCGTATATGTATTTATATATATATATATATACATATTATACATTCACATAGATACACAGTTTTGCACAATTCCAACCCCGAAGGGATTAGGACCCAAACATACCCAAACAAAACCAAGACAGACCCTCTTTTCCGTCTTTACTAACCTCCGACGGAGCACACCGAGGTAACAAACTCTCGTGCAGACCGTTCAACTCCGCAAAGCTGTTGCCCCGAAGTACACAAGTATGTCTATGTCTGTCTGTCTGTCTGTCTGTCTGTCTGTCTGTCTGTCTGTCTGTCTGTCTGTCTCTGCCCATGTCTGGCTGCCTGGCTTGCCTCGGTTGTCTGTCTCTATCTCTCTCTCGCACATCTTCGCGTGTACACTGTACACAACTGGCAGCCTTTCTTACAGTTACCCATCCAATTTGCTGCGAGTCCATGACACGAGCCATGTCAAACAGTGCTCTTTCTTATCTAGGGCTTCAGGGGTGTGTTGCTGCCCCCCACCCCCGAGAGGCGCCCCGATGTTCGGGGTTGTAGACTTTGTAGTTGCTCGCTCTGGCTCTCTCGGTCTCTCTTTCTTTTGTGTGCGTGTGTGCTGTGTCTGTGTGTCTGCATGTCTGCGTGTCTGTGTGCCTGCGTGTCTGTCTGTCTCTGTCTGTCTGTCTCTGTCTGTCTCTCTCTGTCTCTCTCCTGTCTGTCTCCTTCTGTCTCTGTCTGTGTCTCTGTCTGTCTCTCTGTCTGTCTCTGTCTGTGTCTGTCTGTGTCTGTCTGTGTCTGTCCGTCTTTGTCTGTCTGTCTCTGTCTGTGTCTGTCTGTGTCTGTCTGTGTCTGTCTGTGTCTGTCCATCTGTCTGTGTCTGTGTCTGTCTCTCTCTGTCTGTCTCCTTCTCTCTGTGTCTGTCTCTGTCTGTCTCCCTCTGTCTGTGTGTCTCTCTGTCTGTCTGTCTCTCTGTCTGTCTGTCTCTCTGCCTGCCTGCCTGCCTGCCTGCCTGCCTGCCTGCCTGTCTGTAGGTGTGTGTGCGTGAGTCTTCGTATCTGTGTGTCACTCTGTCTAGTGTCCGTGTGTCTGTGTGTCTGTCGGTCCATGTCTGTCTGTCCGTCGGTCGGTCTGTGTCTCTGAGTCAGTGTGTCTCTGTGTGACTTCTGCTTGTCTGTCTGTCCGTCTATGGGGAGAGGGGGGGGGGGGGGGGGTGGGGCGCCTGTACGACTGCTTGTGTGAACGTCTCTCACACTGCTTCAATACAGCTGCAGCCGAGGAACAGCTCGCAGCGCACACTCCATCTTATGGGCAGTTCCCAGAGAATAGAACAAGCGGATCCTTCGGATGGAACTGGCGTGAACTTGATTACGTTTGTAGTTTTTGGAGACAACTGTTTGGCGAACGCTACACCTAGCACACCTCTTCTCCACAGAATGTCAACTCCTGCAGGTGATAATATGGTATTTTCCTATACCTAGCAGCTTTCAGGCAGATGCCAGAACCTGCATCATGTTCAGCATGAGCAGTGTTACTCTTACATTGTCAGTTCTATAGAGCCCTATTATAGACCGCTTATAGATACCTTTACAGGAACCCTATTGAAATTAATAAAGCCCCTATATTAAACCTGGCCGTGCTGTCAGGCATCTCTTCTGGCAACTTGGCTGCATGCTCCGCCTTGGGGCTTTTGAAGCGGTGGCGGAACTAGTATGGGGGCCTTAAAAATTAGAATAGGTGTTCCCTTAAAGGGATTTATAAGGGCTACTGCAGGGGTGCTATAATATAGCGGCCTTCATAATTCGAATAGGGTTTTGGTGCCCTTTCTACTATAAGTATAATACCGGAAGCCTCAAAATAATATAGGCAATTATTAAGGCCTGTATAGTACAGGAACGAAACAGCTCGAAATTACGATTTCACTCTCACTGTCTGCAGTTGTGCTACTTGTACAAAATCGAACTGCTGCCTACATCAGGTGCTCAAGCCACGCCTGTCTGCGTGATAATGAATATCACTGCACAGATTGCTCTCCGGATTCGGGTTATGCATTTCCATGTCGATCTCTGCGGTGGCAACATTGCTTCCCATGCAACTCTTTATCCACACTGCTGCATGATGATTCGGTCATCTGTGACTCCACGATTGTGTTCAAGAAATCTGGTGAACAGTGCATGTGATTTGTTGACCGCGCTTGGTTTCGACTCTCGCAACTTGCTCGAAGTAGGCAAAGATCCACACCCATGTCCGACATGACATTCCATTGGCCACAGCAAGAAAAACCCCGTTCAGGGTTCTTGCCACAACCCAAGTCGCAAATTCTGCCTTGAATCTCTCCCTCTCTATCTCTCGTTGCATCCAGGGTCTAGCAGGTTTGGCAACAGGAGTCCACGAACCATACCATCCACCCGAAGCGCTGAAATGAGCCCCTAGGGCCCTAGATAGCCCCAGACACCACAAAAGAACAAAAAACTGTTCCTCAGCAGCCACCGCGCCCCCCCCGCAGCATCCAGGGACTGTTTGCAGCAAAAGAGCCGACCAGCTGTCAGGAGTAGCCGTGGTGCTCATGCCTCGGTACGCTCCAAACTGCTTATTCGGCTATAGTCTTGTAATCCGGGATTTAGGGTTGCTAAGCTAGAATCTGAAGATACAGAAACATCCTTGAACCTGCTCTACTAGGCTTCGGGGCTTCAATCCCTGCAGCCTTCAAGCTTGCGCAGAAGTTCTGGCCTCTAAGAACCCCGGCCTGCCAAGTCCCAGACCCTGGATCCCTGAAGGCCACAACAAAGCTAAGTCCACAAATCCCATGTTCCTGAACTCCTCCCAAAGCCTGACATCTGCAAGAAGGCGAGTCTGGCTCTTTGCAGGAACCCCTAGATGTCGGGCATGTTCGAGTTCAGCAAAGGCGTCTTGCGCTGTCAAGAATCCGCAGATCCCATGTCGAATGTCGTTACAGCTACGGGAAAGATAGTATAAGAATAAGTATGCTACAGTATGCAGCCCACGAAAAACTCATGACACCGACACCGTGCTGGCTTTGTAAAGGCTCGCTTCATAACACCTGGTTTGTGCCCTGGTGGCATCTTGAAGTTGAAGATTTGTACATGGCATGGTCTGGATGACAGAGCTGATACAGCGCCTTCTTCAATAGAGCCGAGAATGCGTTCCGAGTCGCTTATGAGCTCTCCCAGGTCGAAAACGGGCAGCGTGTCCTGCACAGACCACTGATTACAACGGGCCCAATGGGGTCAGAAGGGACCCCTTGACACGATCACAAAGCTGCCGGGTGTTTCACTTCGACATGACACTCCAGTACACTCCAGGCAGAAGTTGGCCTGTTACCTCAAAAAACTTGGCGACAAGCACCCCGGAGCAACCACTGGCCAGAGTCGTGAGTTGTTGACGCTGGCGCCGTCATTGAGGTCATTGCTCTTTGTGTCGCCCTTACGATGAATCCTGTCGCTTGTGTCGGCAGTAGTGTTAACGATGTTGCCACTTCTGTTGTCTGTTGTCCTTGCTGCTCTGGCTTCCTTCTGCTGGCTGTGCCGCGTCTGTCTCTCTTTCTCGGTCCCTATCTCTGTCCCTGTCTCTGTCTCTTTCTTCGTGCCTATATGTGTCTCTTCATCTTTCTCCGTTCCTGTCCCCCTGTCCTGGTCCCGTCTCTTTCTCGCGAGGGCACCCAAATCTTGCTACATTAGACGGCAGAAACGATGGCGCCTTCAATTGCAGCGATGCATCGAAGCTGCGGATCAAGGCCGGGACTGCGATGAAGGCATGGGGGTACCTGATTCTGCCGCGCGTATACTTTGGAGTGCATCCAGGGCTGGGGAAATTGAGAGCCATTGAACTCAGGCATACAAGTGTTGAGGTCTGCTGGTTGATAGTTGCAATCTGCAAAGCATGGGTCAGAATATAACAAGCAGGAACTCAGGTCTTGAAGACGCAGGGTTCATGTGTCATGGCTATGGGCAATCGGCATAGAAAGATCAGAAGATTGACTCTACCTGCCTTATAAAGACAACCACATGTCTCATAATTACTCCGCACTTTCTCCATGCAGTTGTCCGAAGGAAGCAGCCAGGCTCTCACCCAGACTTGAGAAACAGGTCTCCGACGCTGCAATGAACCGTTATAGAAATGACGGCTTCGGGGGGCCCCGCAACTCATTCCGTCAGAGCACCGATCCAGCCACATGCTGATCAGCAGGTTGTAGAAAGCTGCCTCAACTTCGGAAACGTTTGGAGCTTTGCGCACAAACCATGACGCACTAGAGGTTGAAGTGAGTTGTTGAAATGAAACTGCGATTCTCATGCCGTCCTTGTACAGTATTTGCGTCCTCCAGGCAACCAAATACATATTTGGGACTTTCCGAAAATGGGGGACCCTAACATAGTACCCTAAATAGTAGGATCCTTCTTATAGGGTCCCCAAAATAAGGTACCCCTAATTTTCGGAAACTCCCACATCTTTCTTAAGGAACGGTCCCGGGCTGGCAGGTCACCCGGAAGGTCGTTGGCAGCCGTGGGTCCGAGGCACCGCAGAGACAGAGATTGTAGGAGTACCTGCGGATACACGTTTAATGTGCATATACATATGTATATATATATATATATATATACAGATATATACATATGTATATATATATATGTATGTAGTAAACTTGTTAAAGTTGAAGGCAATGAAGGACACAGTGCTGGTCGTCTGCATCTGCCAAGCTTTCTGGACAGCTGCTGCTGTCCGTTGCTAGCATCGAGACCTTTGCAACTGCTCGATCTCATCGTAAAGTGCAGTATCGGAGTGATCACATGCGGAGCTCTCACTCTGAAAACTGATGCCCTGCATGGGCTGGGCCTCGACCAAGCATGCTGTTGGAATGACAGTTAGAAGGGAAAGGCAGACTATGCCGGGTAGCTCCGCACTAGTTAAACATGTTAATTACCGACCATCCCAGGACCGAAGCACAACTGCTTGAAGTGGATGGTGTTTTACCAGGCCCCGTCACAAGCCGCAGGGGCACTCCTCTTGAAGCGTCATAATGCAGTGCATCTGCCTCTCCTGTCGCGTCGCACAGGAAATCTGCAGGGATAGTACTCTGCTTGTCAGCGAACCCTATACCCGAAACACCAAAATTCCTGTAGCAGAACCGGCCCTGGGGGTGAGGCGGAGACGACTTCTTGTTCCCATGAAGTCACACCGCAGCACAACAGCTGGTTTGCCATACCCTAGCCTTCTGAATTTCAGACAAGCCTGTAGTGTGGGGTATTTCATCGCATTGCTACAGTATCAATAGAATACCTTTATAGTACAACCACTGTAATACAATGCCCAATTTCGATTACAACTCGGAATGCCGATGCCTCAAAACGATGCTCTTTGCCAGGTTCATTCTGGCAAGTTCTATTTCTTATCGTGTATTATAGTCAAGTATACAGCTATAGTCTATTATACGCATTTATAGTATATTATAGTATATTAGTATAGGGAACTGACCCAGGTACTAGTCCTGCATCTCATGAGAAAGCTCAGCATTGCCGGTCAACCCCTATACATGCCTGAAAAAGGGCTGAACCCCACAGTTCTTCGCCTTTACCATGTCGTCCAGAAGCTGTAGCTGCGCCAGAAAATATTTCGCGAGGGTCTTCCTGGTAGGGGTCTGGCAATCGTGAATATGAGCTTAAGCTGTTGAGGATAAAGGTGGGTCAGTCTGTCTGAAAGTTGTTGCCCTCTGTCGCACGAGCAAGGTACTTTGATGGTTGACGCAGGGTGTTGCGGGGAGTTGGGGGCTCGGGTTGTTGGGCTGGGGGCCAAGCTTCGCTTCTGCTGTCGTTCAACTTTTGGTTGGAGACTGGCTTGCGAGAACATGCAAATACCGCCCAGCAAAGCCTTTCAGGCACTTTTCATGTAACCTACGGCAGTGCCGAGAGGTCTGTGCAGCTTTGGGGCTCTGGCCTTGCAACCCAAGTTCCTTCAAGATCCAACTCGTGCCGAGCCACAACCGTTGCAGCCGCGACTGGCTCCCGGCACCTTGAGCGTCGTTGGTGTTCCATTTGGACTCCTCCAAGAGAGACCTCAGGATATCCCTGAAATGAGGGCTTCGGGCGTATAGACGGGCGCGCTCAGCTCAGCGGTCGTTTGTTGGACGTGTTTGTTTTAAAGCTTGGGCTGAGAAACAATTGCCAAATAACTAGCCGAGCAAGTGAAGCTTTGGTAATTTCCGGGCACCTGGCCGGGTTCCGAAACAAATACCTACAATGCAGTTGATTGCTTGTCCACCCTCGGCTCTTTCCCGTCCTTGCCCTTTCCCTGCAGTACGTGCCTCCACCCGACTATCGGAAATCAATTTGACTACGGAGATTGAGATGAGACATTCTGGGCACGAAACATCGGGCAATGATTAGGAATTAGCATGGACTTGATCAATCCAGGAATCCTTCCCGAGCCCAGCCACGCTCTGGAACTGAAAGCTTCGGGCTAGGATTTAGGCTCAAAGTTGTTAGTCGGCCTTGCACGAACACGACGCTTAGGTGTCCACGGGCATCATGTTTGCTGACACCGACTTCGAGTGGATTTGCCGGGCGACGGCAATGAACGTTTCAGGACCAGCAATGCAGTAACAACTATGCCCAAACCTTTCAAACCCGTAACCCCAGCCTAAACCCCCTAAGCCAAAATTCTGAAGCTACACTCAGGGGAGGACTGCTCCTGGCGCTGCATCTCCTCAGCGATCTGAGGGAGGGAGGGCTTTGAGAGGGTTATCACAACCCCGTTTGGATCTGATCTTGACACCTTAGGGCCGTGAGGTTCGGAGGTTGGGTTTCGGCTAGGCTAGACTGGCTGGGATACCTGTGAGAGGAAGCAGGTGGTGCCTCTTACCACAAGTGCCTTGCGCTCCTCTGTCCAGCTTACACTCTGAAGCCTAGCCGTCAACCAACACAAGGGCCTTAATAATTGGAATAGTGTTTTATTTTGGGGTATATTAACAATAATTTTTATAAGGGTCTGGAATTAGTTTGGGATTTTTTGTTTGACTTTTTTTTTTTGTGGTTTGCTTGGCCGTGTTGCATTGCTTTGCAGGGCACCGAAGATCGTGGGGGTTCCTTTCTGAGCCTGCAGATTTACAGCTGAGGGTTTGGGGCGTTGGGATTGGGTTTTAAACTCAGGGCTTTGAAATCGAACCTGTGTATGGTGCTGCGTGCTCAGTTCTGATACCATGGATTGCTCCTACGTTTGCTTCTCATGTTGCTATTGCTGCCCCTGTCGTGTTAAGTCTTGTGGCCCGTGTCAGCACCCTAAGCCGAAACCCTAAATTTAAACCCTAAACTCTTTGCACTAAACCCTACACCCCATACCCTAAACCCTGAACCCCAAACCCAAACATTTTCCGCGCCCACTCTAGGCCCACAGAACAAGTCCTACATCCGAAAACCTCAAATGCCGCCTAGCTCTAAACCCAACAAGACCCCTAGTAGTAGAAGTAGTAGTAGTAGTTGTTGTTGTAGTTGTAGCACGTCAGCACCCTAAGCCGAAACCCTAAATTTAAACCCTAAACTCTTTTCACTAAACCCTACACCCCATACCCTAAACCCTGAACCCCAAACCCAAACATTTTCGTCGCCCACTCTAGGCCCACAGAACAAGTCCTACATCCGAAAACCTCAAATGCCGCCTAGCTCTAAACCCAACAAGACCCCTAGTAGTAGAAGTAGTAGTAGTAGTAGTAGTAGTTGTTGTAGTTGTAGTTGTAGCACCAGTCGCAGTAGCAGTCGCAGTAGCAGTAGCAGTAGTAGTAGTAGTAGTAGTAGTAGTAGTAGTAGTAGTAGTAGTAGTAGTAGTAGTAGTAGTAGTAGTAGTAGCAGTATAGTAGTAGTAGTAGTAGTAGTAGTAGTAGTAGTAGTAGTAGTAGTAGTAGTAGTAGTAGTAGTAGTAGTAGTAGTAGTAGTAGTAGTAGTAGTAGTAGTAGTAGTAGTAGTAGTAGTAGTAGTAGTAGTAGCACTAGTAGTAGTAGTAGTAGTAGCAGCAGTAGTAGTAGTAGTAATAGTAGTAGTCGTAGTAATGGCAATAGCAACAGCAACAGCAATAGTAAGAGTAAAAGTAATAGTAGCAGTGAGAGTAAAAGTAGTAGCAATCAGCAATAACAACAGCAACAGCAATAGCAACAGCAAGAGCAATAGTAATAGTAATAGCAATAGCAATAGCGATAGCAATAGTAATGTAGCAATAGCAATCGCAATAGGAAGAGTAAAAGTAATAGTAATAGTTGTCGAAAATAGGGGACCCTCATAGTACCCATAAAATAGTAGGATCCTTATTGCGAGGCGCCCAAAATAAGGTACCCCTAATGCCCTCATTTGCTGGGTTTCAAAAAAAGGCATATGAATCAAAGCAACCCTGCACGGCTTAAAACAGCGGGGGGGTTGGGGGGGGCGCAGCCCCCCCCATTTGCAGAGACACCGTTCACATGATGGGCTTCGAAAACACTCTTTGAATCAAGCTTGCACGTCTCGAAAAGCGCGGCGGCGGGTGTTTTGTTCTTCCGTGCCTGTTCGTGTCTCTTCTTCCGTTAGCATTCTAACCTAATATATATAACATAGTAAACCAGAAGAACGACATAAGATGGTTCGACAACACAAAAATGGTGTGACATTTTCTGACATAACAAAACATTGCTTCTTATAGCATATAATAGCATACTAAAAATACAACAATACAATATAACAGAAGATGACATAGAACAAAACAACATCTTAGTTTATAGTGTAGTACATTGTAACAAAGTACAGTGCAGTGTGTATATTAACAACATAATATGTAGTATATTTTATAGGTTACATTTACATTATGTTATATTATGTTACGGTACATTACGATATTATGGTAAATTCGATTGGGCTATGTAGTATCCTGTTGCTTGTATCTTTGTTTCTGTGATTTTTTCATATTCTTTCTCTTTCGTATTTTCCAACGTTGCTTTTTTATTCTGGACTTCTTTCTTTCTTTCGCTCGTTCATTTCTTTTCTTTCTTTCTGTTGTTCTTTCTTTGTTCATCTCATACTCCCTTCCTTTCTTTCTTGCTTTCCCTTCTGGTTTGATTTATTTCGTTCATTTTTTGGTTCGTTCTTTCTTTCGTTCTTGCTTTCGTTCTTTCTTTCGTTTTTGCTTTCGTTCTTTCGTTCTCTCTCTCGTTCTATCTTTCGTTCTTTCTGTTTTCCTTTTTTTCGTCCTCTTTAGATACAGCAATTTTTGAATTTTCCCAGGGGAAACACTGTTTTCATACGGATTCGTTTTCATTTCCTGAGGATTTGCTTGGTTTTTGGTTCGGGAAAACACGATTTTCCTACGGATTCCGTGGTATTTCCTTAGGTTTCTTTCTTTAGTTCTTGCTTTCGTTCTTCCTCTTGTTTTTGCTTTCGTTCTTTCGTTCTCTCTCTCGCTTTTTCTTTCTTTCTGTCTTTCTTTCTTGCTTTTTAGATACAGCAATTCTTGATTTTTTCCAAGGGAAAACACTGCTTTCCTAGGGATTTTCTTTCGTTTCCTAAGGATTTGCTTGGTTTTTCCTGGGGAAAACACGATTTTCCTAGGGATTCCGTGGCATTTCTCTAAGTTGTCAACTCTCTTTGGTTCTTTCCTTGTGTTTTCTTTTTTCTTTCCTTGTAGCTTTCTTTCTTTACTTAGTTCTCTATTTTTGTTTTCTTTCTTTACTTAGAGCTTTCTTTATTTACTTATTTCTCTGTTTCTTGCATGGCTTTCTTTCTTTCTTTCGTTGTTTCTGTCTTTCCTTCTCTCTCTCTCTCTCTCTCTCTCTGTCTTTCGTTCCCTTTTCCCCTTCCTTTCGCGGATACCCGTTTAATTTTTTTTGATCCTTATTTAATTTTTTTGATCCTTATTTAATTTTCTTTTGATCCTTATTTAATTTTTTTTTAACCTCTATCCCGCTTTACTGACCTAAATTCGCCTCGGCTCGGCTTAGGGTTGAGGGCGTGACTTAAGGACTGATTTATGAGGCTCTATGCCGAAGAATAGAATGAAAGTGTGTTAGAAATATAAATGATGATACGCCAACAGCGTTCAGTGGCATCGGACTAAACTCAAATAGCTGAACTCAAGAGCCAAGCCTGACAAATGATTTTTGCACAGGGACGGTAACCAGCTGCACGAAAACCCTCCCAAAGCCATTCAGGTTCTGTAAAACTCTATTTCACCCAAGCCCATACCCGAAACCATAACTCCAAACCCCTAAACCCTAGACCCCCACACCCCCGGACCGTAAATGCGCAGACCTCAAGCCCAAAACCGGAAATTCCAGACCCCAAATGGCCCAACACCTCCGAGCCGCTGCATTTGAGGCACCAGAAGAAGAGGACAAACACCCGTACGACATAAGGAGGCAGTATGCTCGAAGCTAGACAGTATAAGAAGTTGCGAGGTGAAAAAGCCAAGAAGCCGAAAAGCCAAGAAGCCAGAAGCCAAGTAGCCAGGGAAGCCGAGAAGCCAAAAGCCCAGAAGCCAGGGAATCCAAGAAGCCAGAAGCCAAGAAGCCAAGCGCGCACGCAAGCAAAAAAAAAAAAATGCAAAAAAAAAAATCCAAAATAAATATGCCTCCTTTTTATAATAGGAATCCACAAACAATATATGTAGGTAATCATTAGGGCCCCTATACAATGCTCCAAATCCTTTGGCGACTGCCACGAACATAGAAATCCAGCTGACTGCAGGTCGGGCTCATCCCAGGAAATGCCGGTGGCGAGCTCCTAGTCACGTCCGAAAGCGCTGGGTGTTGAAGGTCTCAGGTATTGACGTGAATCGAACAAAGTGTAGGGTCGGGGCCTACATGTACCCTCAAGGCTTTGAGGATTGAGAATCATAGCAGCGGGACTGCCCCCTCGAATTGACAACCACCTTGGAGCCGGGTCCCTGAGAACTACCGTTTCAGCCGCCGACTACTTCGCATCATCGCTTTCCAACTTCAGCTGACGGCAGCCGTCTGAGATGCCCGAACAAGCCCTGGTCCCTCACAACTCGAAAATCCCAGGCACTGCTTTTTCCAACTGCACTTTACCCGAAGAACCTCTCTACCAAAGACTGTAATTAGTAGACACTGAAGAACTCCAATGCAATCCAGGACGAGTGGCACAGCACTGCTGTGGTTGCAATACCCACGCAAGGTTGCTCAAGGACACCTCAGACATGCTGGAGCTCGTGGGCTTTTTCACCGCGCTCAGTTTCACGCTTGGGCCCAAGAAGGGTTCGAGTTCGAGAACATGATCCTCCGAGGTCCAACTGCGAACGGCCTGTGGAATCTATGGTGATTTCATAACTGTTATTATTATTACTTTTTTTACCGTTCTCTTAGAACTACTGCATTGTCATTGTTATTCAGATCTTTGCGCTTCGGGGCTGAATCTCGGCTTTGCGGTCGAAGGCTGGGACTGGAGCGTCATCGCTTGTCTTTCGCTGCATATGGTCGAAAAGATGATGATGGTGATGATGACAGTCACGATGATGATGATGATGGTTTTGGTATTGGCTATGTTTGATGCTGATGCTGATGCACATGTGGCTGCCGATCGCCGCCATGATGAGGGTGATGGCGATGCTGATGCTGGTGCAGGGAGAATGATGAAAAGGTGGGGAGCAGGGAGGAGGAGCATGCTAAACAGGAAGACGAAAATGCAGATGAAGACAAAGAACGTGGAAACTTTATGAGCAGCTTCCTTGTGCTTGCAATCTACCCCACAACTTTACTTGAACAGCCGGCTCTTCAGTTCTCAGCAGAAGCTGCGCGAGAATCCTGCATAATGCCCTTCTTACACCTAGGAACTTGTCCCCCAGAAGGGCGACCCCATTTCTTCGCAGAGGTGCCCAAGCTCGGCCACCCCGAAATTCAACGACCTTGAGGCCCAGTGCCTGGCGTGAGATGTTTCCAGCTCAAACCCGGACTAACACTGGATTTGGTTTTCTTGGATGCGGCTTCTGTAGAGACCTCTCTACACAGCAAGGTTTTGCCAATAATGGTGTGGCTGAAGGAGATACCTGGCCATGCAATGACGGGGGCTGTAGAGCGAGTGGATTCGAAATGTCACCGGTCCTGCCATTCACCTACAAGTTGAGGCAGTGGAGTCAGAAATTCCCTCACAAGCCAGCCCAAAAGCAGTCAGAACCTTTGTTGCCCAGCCTCAGGCCCATGGTACAAGACGCCTTGCCCGGCGACCCAATTGTTCCTGGGCCGCTTGGGCTTGGAAGCAGCTTGGAACTGATTGACCATGGATAGTTTTATGACGTGGTATACATGCATACATGACATGACATACATGTGTACATACATACCTACCTGCATACATAATTGCGTACATACATACACACATGCATGCATACATAGGTACGTAGAGCTGTGCCATGGCAGACTAGGGTGACCATGATATTGCAAAGGACTATACGATTAGGCAGCTCCTATGCCGTACTAACAAACCACGATGCAGCCTGTTGACGACGTCGCAAAAAAATGAATGAGCAAGCAACGTCAAAGTTCTGCCCGAGTCGCGGATAAGTCCATGCGATGAGTATATCCGAGATGCCCTCTGTAAGCAGCTGGTATCCGAAGACCTGCCAGTTTCCGTTGCAGAGAACCTTGACAACCTCAACCCTCAAGGGAATTTGTCAATATAGACTTGAATACCCAGCTTTGCAGGGACTTCACCTGAGAAGCCAAGCGCGTACAGGACTCCTCTGTGTAGGGAGCTTTCTGCAATCCAACAGAAGTTTTGATCCCGAAACATATCGACAGGACAAGACCTGCTGAATTTCAAGTCTTCGGCGTCATACTATAGGGTCCTTAATAATTAGACTAGGGTTTTGGCGCCCAATATACCATAAATATCATAAGGAACCCCCAACATAATATTGGCAATTATTTAGGGCCCTATAGTATCTGCAAAGACCCGCATCGGACCAGTCTCTTCACGCGAACTGACAAGGAGGCCCAAGCTCCGTAAAGATGCCTAATGTAGGGGCCTTAATAATTAGAATTGGGTTTTGGGCTCCTGTATAGTAGAATTATAATAAGGAATCCTTAGGGAATAATTGCTTCAATTATTTCTATATTACTCAACTCCGCTTGTGGTGCCTTCTCCAGGGGTGCGATGTGCTTGGAGGAGGCTTGTCCTGCCCGAACTAGCCAGCAAATGCTCGCAGCTCGCAGTTCAGGGATTCCGTTTGACGCTCGAAAGAAGCTCGATGGCCCTTGACAAGCTCTGACTCTTGTGACTCTCGCGATATTAGATCCGAGAATGCGCACAGACCCGGACAGCCCCTGCAGCCCCTGCCTAGTGGCAGTCCGATAGGCGGACCCGGCGCCACAGAAATTAGCAGCTCGGACCTTCCAAAGGAGTTCGACGAGGCGCTTGTGATACAAGTTTCGATGCTCAATGCCGCATGAACTGGCCGACTGGCGCAAGCCAAACTCAGAACCTCATAGATTAGAGTGATCCACTCTGCACAAAGCGTTGCAGACTCTCTCACCGTGCGATATGGAGCACATTGGTGCCATCCTTTGTCAGTGCCTCTAAACCGTCGTACGATAGGTTCCCTTTGCGCAAAACTGGACGCACGTACTCTACATGCGCCCGATGCCCTAGACAGCGGTATGCAACCGCCCAGTCGTTCTCACAGGCCCAACTAACTCGCAAGCCTGCGCCGCAAGATCCCAATGCCCAGAGAGATGCCATGATACCTTTCTCAACAGTCCCTCGAAGCATAATCGCAAAATAATGGGCTCGCGCCTGTTGCGTTCTGCAATGCGGGTCTCCTCGACGGGTGTGCGGTGGCCAGCGAAGACCAGACACCTTCCAAGCTATGACAAAACTGAAGAAAGCAAATCTCTGCATCGCAAAACGCGCATCCAAGCACCGAGTCTTTCTTTCACCTCACACTCGGCTTAAACTTTGAGTCTTGAGTCCTGGCTGTTCAGTTGAGGGCTGCCTTCGGAAATTCGTCCAGGCAATCGGAGAAGGGGGTTGTTGGCAGTTCCTTGTTCTCGGGTACGCAATGCAGGGCCCACAACACATTTGTCTCGGACTCCCTCGAATCTCTCCAGGCTAAGTGCTGTGTAACGTCCCAGAAGACTTCGGCGACCGATGGCACTTTTACCATATCCTAAGTTGCACCAAGAACCAGCTTGTACCTCGTACCGACCAACTTCTGGAAAGTTGCCACGAAATCCGTTTTGAGGAAACCCTTCACGCCTCAGCACCGTCTGCTGCATGATCGGCAGTGCAGTCTGGAGTGGGGCACAGACTGCCTTGGAAAGCACCAGGGGTAGACCATTATCGTGCCGGAGTGTAAGGCCAAAGCACATGATACGTCATGTTGCTCGACAACCTGGTACCGTAGTATGGGTTGCTGCAAGCTTCTCGCTGCAATTCTCAAGTATCTTGGCCATCGTGGCCCCAGGAAGTTTGGATTCGGGGTGTGGGGCTCTAGGCCTCTAGGCTGCCAGACAGAGCCAGAGGATCCTTGCACACTCGAATTGAAAGCAACACGGACCGGAGCCGAGGTCCTTGGCGAATCGAGCCTTATCCTTTTTCTGGAGGTCCCGGTCCATGACCCAAGCACAACAGCACAAACTATGTTCACCTGCCCTGGGAAGACCCAGCACGTTTGCACGACGATCAGCCCTCCACCTTCCATCCGGCCTTCAAGAAGTAGAACCAGGTGTCCAGTGGTCCCAGCTGGCGAATGAGGTCCAGCAGCTTCAGCAAGGTGTCCCTGTTAATGGTCCTAGACACGACAGGGCTGCGGAGCCTGGCCAGTCACCCAAAACTGAGAACACGGCGCTCTGTTAGCAGCCGTTGAAAGACTAGCTGGCAAAACTGCTCGGCGATACGGTTTATGTAGTTGTAAACACCAAAACTTGTACTATCCTCATCGCCTGGACTGATTCACCTTGGCGTTGGTGCTGGTGTTGGTGTTGGTGTCGTTGATACCGTTGTTGTGGCTGTGGTTGTCGTTGTCGTTGTGGTTGCGGCTGCAGGTGCTGTGTTTGTTGTTGCTGCTGCTGCTGCAGCTGTTGCTGCTGCTGCTGCTGCTGCTGCTGCTGCTGCTGCTGCTGCTGCTGCTGTAGTCGCTGCTGTTGCGGTTGCTGCCGGCCGTTTTTCATGTAGTTGGTGGTGGCAGGCGAGCAGAGCACGCTGCTGCTGCTGCTGTGCTGTGCTGTTGTTGCCTCTTTTGTTGCCGGAGCCGGTGTCGTTGCCAATGAGGTTTGGGTTGCAGTGGTGCTTGTTGTTGTTGCTGCTTTTGCTGCAGTTCAGTTGCAGTTGTTGCCGGTCCTGTTGTTGCTGTCGCCGTAGTTACTGGTATTGTTTCTGCTGCTGCCGTTGCTGCTGTTGTCGGTGGTGGTTAGTGTAAGTTGCTCTCGTTTGGGGAATCTGAAAGTACTTCAGCACGAAGCAAGATTATGTAGAACTTGTGGCTCTCAGTCGCTATGAACGCAAGTCGGAAAAGATACCTCTCCAAACCCAGAAAGAAAAGCATGGTCCTCGCAAGCTCTTCGTTATTGCCTTGGCTGTGGTTGTGGGTGCTTGGGAACACTGCTACAGTCTAGTTACCGAAGCCATCAGCCCAACACCCATATTAATATTCGCTTCAGCAAAAGGCCCCCACGCCTTGAGTCAAGTGGCTCAACTATTCCAATCTTGGGTTGTCAAGAAATAATACCAGCATTCTTACAAGCCTCGAGAGCTAGGCTCAGACCGTGTATTTGGTGGAACAAAGGAAAATTGCAATGAAAGTGCTCAGGGCTACGAGATTGCTGCTGTGCCCCCTTTGCATAAGCATGCTTGTGCTGACAGGCACCGCAAATGACGACGTGAAGATCCCCCCGATCCTCGATACGGTTTACTATGTCTCCTGTGGTGGCAATGTCGCTGATTGCTGGTGCTGGTTCGTTGGATGAGCAGGCCTCGGATTACTTGACTTTGCTTCGCAGTTATTGTTCTATTGGTTGATATCATGAGTCATGAGTCTATCTTTCGACCTTCTGTCATCTTCAGGCCTAGGGACTCACCAACTTCACGAAGACGTCGCTGGCACCAAGACCAAAGCCATTGAGGGTATTCAACAAGTCCTGTCTTTCTGAGCTCACTTGCGGGCTCCGGGCAACCGATCACGGCAACTTCGAAGCGCTGGGGAGTGTCTTGAGCTTGGGGTTCTCTGGTTTTCTTCGGTTCAAAAAAAGGCTCAACGTGAACTAAAGAGTTAATGTTAAGCCGGGGGCCTATAGTGTAGCTAAAGCCCACGTGTTTTGTAGAGTATCGCAGGTTTCGGTTTCGGCATCTTCTCGAATCCAGGCTTCAACTTGCATGTGACGCATGCGCCGCCGTGAAAACATCAACTATTCACCCCGAGCAGCAGCCTTTCAGCCGCACTGGAGTTGAATGAAAAGACCAACTTCGTCCAGCCCTCTCGCGACACGGCCGACCGAAAAACAGACCCAAGCCCGCGACGCTGCAGGTCTCCGTGATCCGTTAGCGGTAACCTTACTGCAAACCTCTCTGTTATACATCTCAAAAATACTTCCCAGATCTGCATCTGCTCATGACCCCCTACATCCGGTGCTCCAGCCAGCCGCGCTTGTGGAAGTAGCTCTCTATCTTCCGTATGCCCAGGAAGGTGCAGAGCCAGAGGCGCACGAGGAGCTTCAGGCCTTGGTCGGCTTATCCTCGCGAGTCCGGTGCAAAACTAATGTAGGAGCCTTAATACTCGTAAGTAGAATGGTGTGTTGGGGCCCACTATACTGTAATTATACTAAGGAACCCCAAAATACCCCGAAGATAGACAGTATTGGTAGTCATTTAGGCTCTTATAGGATTACTTCAATGACGCAGCCTCTGGCAACTCGGCTTCTTTCCATTTCCTCTCTTTCAACTTTTTCTAACACGGCGCTATGCTGCGATTCCAGGGTTCACAAGCGGATGTGCGCAGGAGATCTGAGGTTCCAATCACAGTCTCTTACGCTTGTAAAAGAACTGATATGTTATATGTACTATAAAATATGTATATGTTATATGATACTTATATGTATTATTAAGCATGTGTAACATCGACTATATCGTTTGATCGTAGCATTTAGCCTACAATCTGCCTCCAAAGCTCTTTCTTCTAACCCTGGCCCTGAAGCCTCTTAGGCTGCTCGCTTCGGCAGTCAAGGCCTCTGTGCACAACAAGTCACCCTTAGCCTTTTATACTATTCAATCTTGTTACTAATATTACCACTGTCACTAATATTACTATTGTTACTATTATCAAGATCTGCGAAGAGGGCAACTAAGCAATGAAGACGTGCACGGAGGCAACGTAACTCAGACTGGGGAGCTTCTGTTCCTGCTGATCGATGCGCAACTACTGCCGGTGTCTGCGAAAATGCCAAGACTGGCGTACTTGGCCACTGGCATCTCGTCTTCATAGTCGCAACCATTCCTGGTGACGAATTCTGCCATAAGCGCGGTCGCTCGCACAGCATCGTCTCCTTTTTGACGTAGGTATTTGACTAGTGCCAACCTACGAGTCGGGATTCTAGGGCAGGTGTCCATTTCCTGGTCGTTTGCTGCGTGCTGCCAGCTACTGCGACATCTCGACAGCCGAATAAACTTCTACTGTAGTATACAGCAGAGATAATGGCACACAAAACCAAGACACTGGTATTGAGAGTTACACATGAAAGCAACATAAGTCGATTAGTTACTGCAAAGCTAGTAACAGCACCCCGCCTTTCATCACCTCCTCCCAGGCTTCCACCTCTGCAAGGCTGTCCACGCTGGAAGCCAGCGCCTGGCAGAAACGCAAACTTCTGGAAGGCTAGGAAACCGAACAACAACACCGTCCACTGCGCACTTACGTCGTTGCTGCACGTCGAGGAAGATTACTCCGGTGGGAAGGGCTTTCTGGCTTATGTCGCCTTGGTTCTGGAGCCCACACACCTAATTCAAGAAAGCTATGGCGGCTGTTCTCCTCGTCATGATTCCTGTGGACCCGGGGCTGAAGAAGCCTTGCATGTTGTCTAGGCCTGGTCCAAGCTGTGGTCTTCACAGCCTGTGAGCATGTGCAAGGCTTCGCGTGCACAAATGGACGACAGAGCCAGAAGATTGCCGAAGGACACAGTTGTGTTTACCTTTAACCTCAAAACGTGATGGGAAAAAGTTGTGGAAAGGTCTGAGCCCCGCTACTGGAGAGAGGCAGGTTACAGGGCTTGTAGTTATCCGGTATTTCTCAACATGCCAGGCGCACTTCTCGCGCATGCATCTTGGACTCCATCTTCGCCGCCCGACGGCCCCATCTGCACAATAGAAAAATTTGCGTCAGAAGGTCAGGTCAACTACAGCCAGCAGCAGCATTTCAGATGCAGGAGGTGTCACGGGACTGGAAGTGCCTCTGGCATGAAATGCAAATGACAATGATGCGTTCGTACATCGTCCCCGAGAGTAGGATGGCATTCCAAGGTGGAGGCGTCGGGCGCGGCCACGCCGTTCTGCAATCTCTACACCACTGCGCCGGACTTTCCGATTTGATGAGAGGACTGAACGAAAAGTGCAGAGAAGCAAATCGAGAGGGAAAACCTGAACGCAGGACAGGATTTCTGGGCACAACCGGCAGGCCGTTAATCACCGAGCTTATAAGCTTTAGAGTCGTATTGTAGGCATCACAGCATGGGACGACGCTTCCGCATTGGGTTGTGCAGCTTCTGACCCAAGCAATCTCCCAGACTCTACCGCCACCCGCCCGACCTCACATCGCCGATAACCAGCAGTTCCTAGGTGGCGGTGGCGGTGGTTGTGGTGGTGGTGGTGGTGGTGGTGGTGGCGGCGAGGGGTGGATTTCCAAAGCCACACACAGCATCAAACGCACCCAGAAAGGCCCTCCGCTAATAGCACAACTGAACAGAGGCTGCCATCTGGTATCATGGGAGGTCGTGCTCGTTAACCGCTCACACCTGCAACCGTCAACCTTAAATCTCCCAAGCTCAAATCCTCACGAAGCAGCAACAGCAACTAATGTCGACATGCGCAAACCACTCAAACCCCCTAGCTTGTCGTCGATCAACGCGGCGGGTCGAGAATTGCTTCCGAGCGTAGGGTTGCGAATGTCAAGCCAAGATTGAATGTTGGGATACAGTCGGACGCGGGAAGGACTTATACATACATCTGAGATGAAGACGCCGAGGTTAGTGTAGCTGCATGGCCCGGAGGCATAAGTCTTTCAGGCTCGCGAAGAGGCTTGCCAAGCAAAAGCTTCGTGCACAGGTTCATCAAGAATCTGTGAGGCTCCCGCCCTGAGCCAACCATGCTGCCATTCCTACAACCCTATGACCAGCATCTTCGAACAACGTGCGTCTTCCATCATTGAAGTTCCTAATCGCCACCAGCTGAACTCAGAAATACCCTTTAAGCAAAAGCGGCTCACAACCGCCCATCAAAATGTCCCGAACCTCGATACCCCAAAAGTATGGCCCGAAACCAAGCTTTACATCATAAGATAGCCTGAAGGGTGCATGCAAGGCTCTGTCCGCTTGACCAACTCATGGAACAGCTTGAAGCTAGCATCGATATACTTCATTTGGTGGGACACCTGCATTCGCAAATGTCTTTAAGCCCACTCGTCCCGCACGACTGACATCACATCGCTAAGTTCTTCGAGAACCAGAAGGCTTCTGGGTTTCTCAAACCCCATTGAACCCTGACTCATAGGACCCCTGAAAGTGTCCAGAGATGTCTAGAGTCTTCTAGTCTGGGCTCGCTTTGCACTCTGCGGAAAGTCCCAACGGACTTCCGCCCCACAATTCCAGCTTCGCCAGCAAAAAAAAAGCCACAAAAATCACAAGCCTGCACCCGGAGTTCACGTTCTCTTGGAACCGGCTAGAGGATGTCCGCAGCTCCGTAAAAGATGCTTCCGCAAGAAATGCGCCTTAAACCTCAATTCTCTCTACCCTCCGATCCTGAGCCAGAACTCCTGTTAAGAGCACCCCTGAGCCCGCTACATGCTGCCGCGCGGGTAAAGCCAACCAGGGCTCAGTCAGGGGGTCCGGGAGAACGGAAGCGCTGGCATCCTCGCAGCATCTTTGGGATTGAGCCTCCGCTGTTTTGATGCCTCCTGTCTGGCTAATATAGGGCCTTAATAATTACAATAGGGTTCTAAAGTATGCTTATAACAAGGCCCCTATACTAGAATGTGAAAGGCAGCGTCAAAGGATCTTGGGTGTCGGATTGCAGCTCCAACGTTCTGTGTGCTCTGTTGCGTTGTGTTTCCTTTGTGCCAATGCGGCTGCTGCCTGACTGCTCTGTCTGTCTGATTCCTGAGACCAGACGTCCTGCGAACAGTACACTCCAGAACTGAGAGGCGCAGCCGATGCTCGCCCCAAACGATACTAAAAGTGACTATTCACGGAAGTTGTGGATTGTGGTTTTCCCATTCCCATAAACCGTCAGCCAGCCCAACGTCACATTCCCAGAAGGTCCGGCATTGTGTAAAAAAGTTATCTGCTCCAACCCATGAATGCCCACGACACGTATCACTAGTGATCTGCTTCATATGTGGCTCGGGAGGTGGTGCTAAAACCATAATAAACAAATTCGTTGGACGAGTGCCTGTCGCCAGTGCCGCGAATTCGTCAGGAAGAAGATCATGTCCTGCGCTCGGCGCAAGCGCAGGTAACTTGGGTGTTTGGGGACTCAAACTTCAGCGATAGACAGCCACGGGTTGAAACTACTAGAATCATGCCCTGTCGAAAATGAGTGATCCTTAGACAGTACGTAGAGCACGGGGAGACGGTAGCTCCTCGGGTGTGGCAGGAACTACGACTTAGCACCTCCTTGGGAGTCTTTTCCAGCGCAAGGGCTGCCCAGGATCATGCAGCCTCCCCGAAGCCCCAAACACAAGCCATCCCAGTTAATCTCATCCTCGGATTCCACGTTGTAGTCCACACTGAGCTCCAAATTTTGCAGCGATTAATCTCCAAACTGACAAGACCTTCATTCCGGAACATATTCGGGGGCATTGTCAGGCATGGGGACAAGATTATGGAAACGAGAAGTTCTGCTTCCCTTATGCATCGACAATCACCTCTGCCAAGCTTGGAGAATTTCATGAGCACAGTCTGTGGTCCGTCAGAGCGTGCTCGCACTGCGTGCAGATGAAACCGGCGATGCCGACATCGTCAAACTCCTGGAGCAAAAGGCAGCTTCTTAAAGGGAATCCGAAAGGGATGGGGTTTCAGCAGGACCTTCACCGATCATGCGCGACGTCAATGTCGAAACAAAATCGGCTTGACTACCAAGCTACCAGGATGGCGTAAAAACCAGCAGCAAGGGTGGAGCTGGACGGAGATTCGCTGACGTGAGGCCGGATGTTTGGAATGCTCGTCCGAGATTCGAAGAATGTGAGCCCGGAACCTGAAAACATACAACCACCGTGTCACCAATCGAGCTTGTGGCTGTCTGCATGCTTGACACTGCAAAGTCCAATAGTCCACATACCTTTCTTGCGCCTGTCTGCCTATGCGAGGCGAGTTGAAGCACAACATGCAGGAAACAGCTATTATAAGTTGACGGACAAGCCTGGCATCGCGGCACAATCTGGCGGTGGAGGGCAAAGCGGTGCTCGTTCACCTTTCGATCGACGCATATGCAGCTTCGTTTGAACAAATCATCTCAGCTGCCAAGCAGGCACTTTACCGCTTGAGCCTTCGCAGGCCTTGCAAAGAATCCCTGCACTGCAAGTTGAACAACGACCCATGGTGAACTGACGAGTCGCAACTCCTGCAGATGAGGACTTGATGGTACACGGTCTAGCATGGCAAGCGAGAAAGATGCGACATCAAGATCATCAGTCTTTCCAGGCTTGTGGCCCGATCTTATGCCAAGCGACCACTTCACAATCCTTCAAAAAGTTGGTGCCCTCCATGTTCTGGATCACCTTGGTGTTGATTGTACGGTGGTTGGCGGTCATTCAAGCTAGCAGCAGTGCCGGCAAGCTTTTGAACTTGAGACGTTGTGAGATGTAGTGAAGTGCCACAGCACCACGTCAAGTGTGCAGGCTTCGTGCCATGCAGTAGCGCCAACCACAGAGTGAAGCACTTGCAAGGGGAAGCGGTTTAGGGTTTAGGGTTTGGGGTTTAGGGCTGGAACCGCCGTAGATCCCAAGGATCCCCCAAAACGCCAGATTATCCGAATACTCGCAATATATAGACAGTAATAACAATCTTAAGAACAACAATAACAGCAAAAAGCATGCCTTTAAAGAAATACTGATGTGATGATCCTCAAGCCAGCAGCGAAGCTATCGCGGGAGAAGCGCGAGGAGGAAAAAGTGAGATCCAATCTGGGGCGTTGAGGCTTTAGGGTTTGGGGTTTAGGGGTTTAGGCGGTTTAGGGTTCAGGGTTTAGGGGGTTTAGTGGTTTGGGGTTCGGGGTTTAAGGTTTGGGTTTTGGGTATAAAGGGTTAGGATTTAGGGCTCAAGTTATGTGCGCAGGGGCTTCGGTTTCGTGGGTATACTGGGATGTAATCAGGACCTGGGGGCTTCACAGTTCATGGCAGGGCTGGAGAGATGGATGAATAGGATTTTGATGTGGCATAAACATATGAAGGGAGCCGAAAAGAAAAATGTCGGTAGTTACTCAGGCTGCTACAGTAGCAGTATCCACGAAGGCACGCCAGAAGCCAAAAACTTGAAACATGGATCCTACATGAAGGCCCCTTTGTTGGGAAGCTCGAGCTACTGGGCCAACAAGCCTGCTTCTCTTGGCCTTGCGAGAAACCTTAACGCAGCATAGTATAGTATAGTATACTATATAGTATAGTACAGTTTAGTAGAGTATAGTATTGCGAAGGACTGGCTTAACAGACGCCGGCTGAAAGTCTTTACAACTTAAGTCTTTGGAGCTTTTTTCGTCTGCATCGACAGCCGATTGCTGAGCTCCGGGCGAGTTGCCTTTGCCTGGGATACCGTAGAAGTGGCAACAGTTAAATGAAGACACAAACAAGCGGATATCCTCATGCCATGTGCCAAGAGGTGCGTGGACAGGAGGAGATGCGTCGTACCACGCCAGAAGTGAGCTTCGCGCAGGATTGGTTATTGCAACGTTGGAGAGCGAGGTTCCTCACTTCAGTGATTCACTTACATCTTGGTCTCCCTGTTCCTCTGGCTTGTCTACTGGTTGCTCTAGTTCGCTGCATGTACAACAAAGCCCTGATATGGCCGAAATCCGAACGTGGCATCTCTAGGCTACTCCACAAAGCAGAGCTGGGTCCCGCCTCGCTTG